GGAACGTTTTCAGGCTACCTCAACAAGCAAGAGATCAGCTTTTCAAATAGCTCTTCCTACTTAAAGACTACCACAGTTAGATCTTCCATGTCCTCTCAGTCTGTGACTCCTGACATTTCACCTGCAAAGAGTAATCTAGGTTCAAAGCTAAGCCCTGGCAATAGCCCGCTCCACCAGCTGAGCCCTGCAAGGCAGTATAACAACCCTATTGGCCTTTACTCAGCAGAGACTCTAAGGGAAATGGCTGAGATGCATAAATTAAGTCTCAACCGAAGGGCTTCGGAAGGTGGACTTCCTAGAGGGTAGGTAACATGGTAAAATATTTAATATTTCAATAAGTAAAGAATTTGCTGGGAAAAAAAAAAATGAATGTAATTGTACCTACCCTATTGTGCATTTGTCTGGTAATCATGATGAAGGTCTGGAACAATCATTAAATTTTCCAGTACCCCCCAAAACATACCCAGTACCATTACAGAATAACTCTTGGTCTTTGGTATCTGAATTGCAATCCGGATTGGCAATAGTCACCAGAGCATGAGAAGGAACACTGTGACTGAACCGTGATCACCTCGAGGGTTTGGCATTTAGTGGTTTAAACTAATGTGTGTAGCAACCAGGTATCGCTGTTGGCTGTTACAGGAGCTGCTAGAAAGCAGATCTGATCTTTGGTAGATTCCTAAGGAGAAATTGCTTTGAGCATCAGATTTGACATGCTGGTGTGTTGAAGTGTCCCGCTGCAATTCCTGCCTTAATGTATTGGCTTTCATATGCAGAACGAGTCAAAACTGCTGTATTTTGCATCCTCTGGTTTGAGCATTGTCCATCACATCTCTTAGCTTTGCTCTTCGCTTGTATGTACCCAGGAATGATCTCTGGATACCGCCCAGAGAGCTTGATCCCATGCTCTCAAGGCTTTCTGTCTTACTGTATTGCAGAGCAGCTGTTTCATTGGTAGTGAGGAGCTTGGACTAGAGTACATGAGAAAAAGCATTGAGTAACGAGTCTTCCTAATTTTTCTGCCGTTATGTATTAATTTGCAAACAAATCTCTAATTTGTTGTTTGTTTGTTTTTTAAATGAAGATAAATTTATTGTGAATATGGGGAAAAGTGTGCTTTCAACACTAGGGACTTGGCTGTATGAAGAGAAACAGAAAATTCAGACAATCTGCTTGAGGTCTGACAGCAAATGCATATTTTCAAGTACCTTATATCCCACTGCAGAAGCTCTTTGGAAGAGTAAAACCAAGGGGTTTTAAGCTGTAGCAAAGTAAGGATATTTTATCCTTATAAAAGAGCATATATACATGTTCTGGACGATTCAAGTAGTTTAGATGATTCATTGTAACTCTCTTGAGCACTGGGCATTAACGATCCTAATTAACTTATCTGAAAAAAATCCTATCCTTCCCTCATACTGGGTAATTAAGAAAGGCAATTACTGTTTAAAAGAGAATCATTTCAGTTAGTAAGCAAGATCAGCAGAATAACCCTCAGAAAGCTTCCCTCTTAATTGACAGCTTTTCTTGAAGAAAACTAACCCTTGTTTTATTTCAGTGTGCAGTTTCCTGGGAGTATAGGCTTACTTATCTTTCTCCCACTGTCTTCACAACCCTTCTTAACATCTGCAGGGGTGAGGGTGAAGGGGCTGTGTTTTGGGTGGCTCAGCGTTCTGACCATTTCTCTGTTATCAGAATGAAAACTCAGCTGCATCCATCCCTCACCAAAGTCAATCTGAACTGTCCCGTTGATTCCAGAGGGCGTTGCAATAGGGCTACATCACGACAGGGATTGTTGGGCAGCCAGAAAGGTGTACCTGCAGAAGGCACTCCACTCTCTTCACTCTGCTGCTTTTCCATGGCGTATGGCTCCTTTATATGTACGGGTTAGTGCATGCCCGTGGCAGTGCACTGCATTACAAAGCAAGGTTTTACCTTAGAACAACCATCTGAGATCTCTTTTAGTCTGAAAAAAATTATAGGGCACTGCTGTCTATCTGCCTGCAATGTCAAATCAGAAAATTTGTGAAAATTCATCTCAACGTTTTGTTAAAAAAATTCAGCCTTTATCCTGCGGCCCAGGAACAATCTGAAAAGATGAAAGAGCCCAGAGGTACTAAGTACATGTGCCCTTTCAGGTAATTCCTCTGAGATATGGAGAATTGTACATCTCTGTGTACATGCAGAGAAAATTCAGGGTTCGATAATTCTGTCATTTCGGCTCCCGTTTGAGAGTTACCCACGAGACACGCGACATCTTTCCTCCTGCTCTGAGGGGAGTAGCGTGGACCCTGTAACCCCCCTGGGATTTGTATCATCCATGATGGGCTCGATCTTGTTGTGGATATGTGGGAATGAGTGCACAGGGAGGGCACTGTCAGCTCTGCAAAATCAGCTCTGGACTTTGTTGTGTATCACGGAGTACAGTATGCCATGCTGCATCAAGATTGTGAAATTATGGTGCTCCAGAACAGAATTGCTTCTGCATTCATGAACTCAGCAGTATGGTAGAAGCTGTAAGACAACTCAGGTTTGGGGGATGCTCTCAAGGTATATTTCATAGTTCCATTTGGTGTCCTTTTCACCAAATCATTTAAATTTAATTGTGTGAATTGCTGTTAGAGGTTTAGCTAAGCCCTTTGGAAAATCCTGTCAGAAAGCTAAAATTAATTTTGAGATTATTTCCTTGATCTGTGAAGAGTAACAAGGCATCTGTTCCTCTGATACACTTTTACATTAAAGCTTTATCAGCTTGGCCCAGGGTGAAAAATAGGGGTGGCCTGTTCAGAGTGTGGAACTTGATGTGCTGAAAGCTCTGGAAAGGGGATTATTAATAAATACGAAGAGTGAGTCATAGCTTGTAACATGTGGTTCTTTTTCATTTCAGTGTAAGTTATTTTTCACATTGTAGGTCAAGGGCAGTAAATACCTGTCCCCCAAGTACGTGCCAGGTGGCTTGGGTTACTGCCTTCTGACGGGGTGACCTCTGCGAGCAGCGAGTTGGGCGTTTCATACGTGTCCGTATTTAGAATCAAGCTAAAATAATGTATGGCTCTGAACTGGAGAGAATTTTCTCATCACATACTGAACATAAGGAGAAGTACAGCTTTATTCTTTTTAAAGGAACCTGTAGTAGCCTTGTCACATCTAAAAAATCTTTCCTGAGACATGTAGCTGTTGAGCTGTTCTTAGTGTGCACGCATAATGATTTTTATCTTTGAACATATTTTTATATGCCAACAAGTGGCTCCTCTAATTAAGGCGCATTTTAGGGATGGTAATTCTGCCTTTAAAGTATTATTTTATGTGTAAGGCAAAGGCCTGGATTAGAAGATTAAAGCAGTCATCAGAGTCCACTTCAGAAAATGATACTATCACAGTGTGTTTCGTTGTAAATGAGTGCCCAGCTGTCCTGCACATACCTAAAATGGATGCAGGATCACTGATGTGCTTACGGGCCATCGCTGTTCCTAATATATCTCTACTGGTTCGTGTAACAGACTGATATATTTGGCTTAATGTAGGGTTTATAAAGTTAGAGGAATATTCTCGAATCCAAGAGTCTGAAGCACAGTGACTGCAGAAGATGATGTGTGATTGCTTTCCCATGGAAGCGCAAAGCCTTTACTGCAGCTTTGGCTCATTGGAGTGGTTTTGATCATGAAAAAGGCACCTGGATGAGCCAGTGCAAAAGGTCTGTGTATAAAAAGCAGCAGTAATATCAAAGGTGCCACAAGGCGAAAGCAGGAGACAAATCCACTTTGAATGTCACTCTAACAGAGTAACACTGCTGTCCTGTGTTGCCCGTGTTCCGCTTTCCTGCGTGTCTGCATCAATCCCAGGTCCAGAAATGTCACAGGAGGAAGTTGGAAGGTTCAGTGCCCAGTTCTGTCAACATTCTGTGCAGCTAAATAAGAAATGTTTGTTAACTGATCCTGGACTCTCTTTATTTTGTTCAAAATATGATGAATTTCCCTTCACACAAGAATATAAGAGTCAAATATGAGAATTCAAAGCTTTGAAAGAGCTAAGTTAAAATAAATGTCATAGCCCATTAATGCTATTTGTGCAGCCAAGAGGAAGTGTTGTTAGCAAATAATGTAACATTGCAGTCTGAGCACACTGCCTGTTCATTGCCCCCAGCTTTGGCCCACACTGAGTTTTGTGTTGTGTTTCTTTGGAATTCCTGTGCAAGCCACTGTCACTTCTTGTTTATGCAGCGAAGCAGGGTGTAGCATGACCATACCTTTTTTTTTTTTTTTTTTTCCTACTGTGTGCATACCAGATGGAATGAAATATCCTCATAGGGATATCCAAAAAAACAGATAATGCACGGACTCGCTTCGTTTCACATGAAATACATTAGGAATGACTGTTCTGAAATTGATTGGTTTGCACTGCTGTTGGCATAATGTAGGTAAATCAGATTAGGGCAATAGTTTGTTAAATACAAAGGCATTTTCCTTAGTTTTAGGTTTAAAACATCTGCCAGTATATTCTTCGGATATTCTCCAGTATGTAAAAGATCAAAAAATCCATCTTGCAATACCAGCTCTGAGAGCAGACTGAGGAGAACAGACTTCATCCCTGGATATTTAGCATCTGAGGGAAGAATATAATCTCTACCACTCACTTGCTGTTTTCAGATGAGAATATACTCTGCAAATGCTTCTTTCTCCCCCTGCTCCCTCCCCCCATACACTTTGATAATACTTCTAGGGACGCATAGCAATAAAATCATATTCAAGGGTCAGCCAAAATGCCATGGTACCCTAATAAATCCTAGTGGATCAACTATAATCCCTACTTTTTTTTTTTTCCTTTCTTAATCTTGTTGCGTTTTTCAGGCATACATTGACTTGGGTTTTTTTCTTGTTTGTAGATGGTCTGAAAAAAGCTTTACTAAGCTGTTGTAAATACCTTTTGCCCTTTGCACTCTAAAAACTATTGACTTTCTCTGGTTGGTTTTGATGTTGTTTGCTCTCTCTCTCTTCTTTTAGGTCATAACCAACACTGCTGCCAAGTTAGTATCACTTCTATACAGTGCCAAGTATTTGTGTTACGCTGTATTGTGTGAAGGTTTGTTTTCTGGGGTAGCATGATCCCTTGTGTTCCTGCTGTGTCTGCCTGCAAGTGGAAATTTTTTTTATTTATTTATTTTTTTTTAAATCTTACTGGTATGGCAAGTGTCCTGGGCTGCCACTGCTGTCCAGTGGTGCTCCCTTCTCAGCACACCCCATGTTCAGCATTTCGTGGTGATGTTCTAATGCTGCAACTGGAGTTGGCACCTGAGCTTGCTCAGTTCTTGTAAATGTTTTCAGAAGTTTAATTCCTCCTAACTCTTCAAGTAGTCTTCGTATCTTCAGGATTTGGGAAGCCTTCTCTGAGCCTTTTTTGTTGTATTATTAGTGATGTATTTTTAGCCTCAACATTAAATTAATTTACAAAGCCCTACTCCCCTCAGATTCAAATTGAGATTGGTATGAGATACTGATGTGGAAAATATCTGAAAAGTAATTTACCTTAGGAAACATATTGCCCAAACAAGAAGCAACTATTGATTTGAAAATGTGATTGATCAGCTTTATGTAGGAAAGCTCAGTGTCCTCAGCTTTGATCTTTAGTTTTTTTAAGGGCAGAGGATTGTCTCTAAATTCCCCCTTTCTGTCTCTGAACTGAGTGCTGTCCAGAAATTGCTGGAGACTGGGTTAAATTCAGCATAAAATAAATAATTACATTAGTCAAATTTAAACTGACAAGAGAAGGTTAGAAGTAGTAGAATACATCAAGTTGAAATAATATTTATTATATATAATATTTATCATATAATTTACACTGATCTGGCATTCTCTGTTGATTTTAATAAGGTGTGAGTATGATGTCATGCAACTGATGTCACTCCTTTGGAGTGATGAAGCCAGCTAATTTACACTGGTAATTATTTTGTTTGTTAGTCTTGCTTTGGGATTTATTTTCCTGATCCTTCTCCAGTTTAGTAGAAAAGTCCCATCCATTTGGAGAGGTGCTCCAGCTGTCTCTAGGGTCCTACCTCTGCCACTTTGTCCCAGAGCACAGCACCCCTCACCAACGCTAATATCTTCTGTTTACTTCCAGAGTTATAAAGAAAACTCTGCAGTTGAAAATCTATACCCTTTTTTCTACCCTTTTTTATGGGAAAACCATTAACTTCAGTGAAAGTTTTGCTTTGGTATGTGTAATATGACTAAAACCTCTTGCAAGACACCGCTGAAACTGTTTCAGTACCCCAAGTGAAAGCCTACATCACGACTGCTGCTACTGGTGGGGAAGTTTCGGCTGTTCTAAGATGACTAGCTTTTGTTTTTTGCAATTGATTGTAGAAACCAAATGCTTTGAACTTTAGTCTTTAAGAGTGGAATATTTAACTTCTGTCTTTTCATTCACACAGTCTTCTCAGATCTTGGGTTTAGAATCTCTTCAACACTTCTAACAGTGTTGGGGACAGAAAACACTAAATTCAGGATCTCGAGGACCTGTGTGTTTGTTATGTGATCGTTCAGGGTGTTACAAAGAAAAGAGATTCTTGTCAAAGAAAGAGATCCTTGTTAAAGTAAGGCGTGTGCATGCTGAAAAGCCAAGAGTGTAACAACCTGTACGTCCCTGCACATCACTCTTCAACAGACGATGTCAATGTAATAATAATAATAATATCTAATGGAGAGATATTTTAAATGTGAAAATGTCTTTGCAAAAAGATGATTTTCACTTTTTGCCTGCATAATGCAGCTTTCTGGTTCCCCCTCATAAAATGTTGCTGTGTGTAACTGAAGGCTGTGGCTGTAACATAGCATGTGCATCCTGATGTGTCTGTTCCTCAGGCATGCAGCTGTCCGTGTGCTGTCGGGGTTTTGAGTGATGTGTGACTGATCTCTTACTGTCCACCCGCAGTCAGGGCATCCCACCAAACAAAAGGCTGAAAACACAGTGGAAGCCCAAGGCTGGCTTCAGAGTGGCACATCAGCTTCGATAATCCCTGAGAGATTAAGTCAGATGGCTGCCACCTTAACTGGATTTTCCTTTTTCCTCCATGGCGGGTTGAGGGTTTGGTTTGCACGCTCACCTCGGGGCTGACCTGGCAGGCAGGCACACTGGTGTTCCCTTGCCAGCCAGAGAAGCTGCTGTTGAGTCACATGAACAAATTCAGTGAAAGACTTAATAGTTGATAAACTTACAGTGTAGTGATTTTAAACTGAAAATGAAAATTCTTCCAATCAAATGGGATTACATTTGTCAGAATTTCTTTGTGGGGGAGATAGATCTATTTCTAGCTTTTGGGACTCCGTTAAAAAATGAAACCTCTGTGAAATACCTGTTATTGCCCAAAGGACAGAGTTGTCAGGTTTGCCCAGTTTGCTGAGCGTACGGAATCCATGCTGCTGGCATCCTCCTGCTTGGACTAGAGATTCATCCATCTCCCATAGCTTAGAGAAAAGCAGCTCCCTCAGTGCCTGGCGGCTGAGGTTTAGCTTGTTCACTGAAACTCCAGGCAACGCTCAGCCCTAACTCTAGGGCTGGAGCAGCGTACAGCTGGGCACTTCAGGGAAGCCAGGTGCTCTTTAGCTGAAGTCTGATATTAAACTGACTTGTTCTGTTCCAATGGGAGCTTCAGGTAACTTGTTCATGGCTCAGTTTCTCAAATAAAAATCTTTCCTCATAAAAAGAGTCACTGGAAAATACGGTGGCTACTGCAAGTTGTCCCAGTGATTGCAATATAGTGTATTTTGATCTGAGACTGAGCATTTATCATGCTACAGCAACTCTTATGGCTGGCTGTCCGGAGATTTTGGGAAGATTAGTCTTTCTGAGGAGAGCTTTGAAGGTTAAAAGGCACAAGGTACTAAAATTCATTATGATTTATAATCCAGACACAAAGTACTGGAACTTTCTAAATGGAGGACCTGACATCTGATCATCCCGTTGCACTTTCTAGCACTTTGTAAGAACGGATCCAGTATATAAACTGGGAATTCTCTGCAGTGTGTATGCACACCCCTGGGCATGCATATACACGTGTGTGTGTATGTTTGTGTACACTTACATGTCTATATGCATGTAAGGGTAGAATTTTAATTTGTATCACATACTTTGGGGTTTGTCATGATTTTTTATACAATGACAACCTTTTTTTTGTCTTTATACGTCTGTGAGCCAACACCAATGGCATCCATTAGTGCAGCAGCTTATCTGTTCCTTGCTGCTGATGGTGCCTCTTATCCTTTGACCAGCAGCTTTTGTGGTGAGATGCCATGAACACGCGTGCATGCTCCTCTGTTGGTGCTTTCTCTCTCACTGAACTGTCACGCCTTTCTCCTTTCTTCCCCTGCCTTCCCTGTCGGACCTCCCTGCACACCCCAGCACGGAGCTCACGGAGCGTTTCAACCCCAGTGTCCTGAAGGACTCTGCCCTGTCTACACACAAACCCATTGAGGTGAAAGGCCTGGGTGGCAAGGCTACCATAATTCATGCCCAGTATAACACCCCGATCAGCATGTATTCCCAAGATGCTATCATGGATGCAATTGCAGGCCAGGCACAAGCCCAGGGTGGAGAATTTGCTAGGTAAGGTCATTTCCTGGTGTGGCATGTTCCTTGTCTGCATGATCCAGCTAACAGCAGGATCCTCCTGCACTCCTGGCGTATCTTACACGTGAAAAACACAAATCAATCCTAGACAGGATTCGTTTGAAAGCACGAAGTTAAAAGGCTAGAGAGTTAGAAAACGTAACATTTCTTTTTCGGTGTTCTTCCTAGAACTGGTAAAGCACACACAATATCTAGCGCTCGGTATGTGCCCTTGGCTAGCTTCTCCCTTACCATGACTGTGCTGTGGGATAACCACGGTATTACACGCACAACGTGGAAAGAGCAGGAAGGAGGGGCAGAATTTCTGTTGACACACGGAGAGCACAAAGTACCTATTTAGTACCGGCTACTGTTTTATTCTTCAGAACGGAGTGTGGTGCTCTATTATTCCTGTCCCTAGTTCACATACAGCACACGTGTCTTGCACATATCCTTTGGACTATGGCAAAAGCCATTGATCTTGAATAATTCTGCTTTTCCAGTGCACGTTTCTGGTCCTCTTATCTCATCAATTTTGGAATGTGACTCCTAGGCCTGACATTCACCTGGCCCAGAAGAAAATAACGCCTCTCTTCCTACGTGCAGTCAGGTGCAGGGGACTCTACGGTGCTGTGAGCTACAGCCTGTTTTGTAATTCCTTTGCTTTAAACTCTTAATAGTTAGTGACTAAACCATCTTCTCAGTAGCTTGTTTTGTTACCATTAACAGCATTTTTAATCTAAGGGCAAGGTTTTTCCTGATACAACAGTGGCCTACCCATTGACTGATACTCAGTCAAACCCATAACTCATTTCCTTAAGGTGTTGCTTTGTGATATTCTGAACTTTAATTTGCACTGGAAACTGAGGGTGTTCCTTGGTTTGCTTAGTTGATCAAGTCTGAGATAATATTATGCTTAATGCAGAAATATTTGTATGAGAAGTTTGTTATATAAAAGCAGACCAACTTGTGTACTGATTTTGTCTCAATTCTTCTGCCTATAATTTGGTCTCAGCACTTAATTAATCTTCTTTGAGCTTTTCATTTTATGGTAGAGATAAGCCCTGAAGCCACAAGGTGGATGTGAGATGGTAAGCATACTCCAGCTGCAGATCTGAAGGGCTTCTCTTCTTTTTGGCAGACAGTAGCTAGAAACACTGCTTACTTGTTTTATCGGTGATGAAGAATAGACGGGCTTAAGATAAGAATTCAGTTTCTGTTTGACCACTTGAAATCAGTGATGCTTTAACTTAAGTCAGTGAGATCAGAATCAGGCTCGTGTCGCTTGGAGAATAACTGACGTGTACTAGATCACCAGGGCAAACACAAAGGAAAGCATTTAAATTATTTATACTGCAGTTATTCAGACCTCATGCTGGAACTTAAAGGTAGAAAAATTTTAATACCCCGACTTTATCTTTTCTCACTCTGTGTTGCTTTATTTCCATTGCTTTTGCTATACCAAGAACCAAGAGTTGGTTGCAGTAAAATGCTGTGGTCAGTACGTTTCTGTCAAACCTCCATTATGCAGCTTTAGCCAAATTCACAGGTCGTGTAAGTAGACGTAAGTCCAACGACTTTATCAGGATTAAGGTCTAACAGTTCTAGCAGCAGAGTCAATAATGTGATTGTGAAAGCTGAAGTCTCTCGTGTATCCTCTACAATAAGTCAGTTTGACTGGATAACTTACCAGTCTGCATGAGTTTGTATGCTGGGTTGGTTTTTTGTTGGTTTTTTTCTTGGTTGGTTGGTTGGTTGGTTGTTTTTTTTACCTCTTAGAGCTTTTTTTAAATAGTTGGAAACAGTCGAATAGCCAAAGACACAATAGTTCATTGTATGTCTATATCAAGGGTAGAACTCTGCAGTGTTCATAAGTATTTTACTTATCTACTTAAATTAAATCTGAATAATGACTCCAGCGAGTGGTTTGCATGTTAAACCAGAGTTTATAATGAACTCCCAAGAAAAAGAAAAATCACATTGCTACTTATTCAAAGAGGTTTGACTGTCTTTAAAGCTTATTTTAATGTTAATAATGTGTGACTTGGACAATGATGTGAAAAAGGGGAACAAATTTTTATTGAAACCTACTACAATACTTTGGGCTATAATATAAAAAATTCTCAGAAGTTCTAACCCATTTGGGAAGAATTTTTTTTTTCCAGTAACATAATTTTAAAGTAATATGTTTAAAGATGCATGATATTTCTGCACATACACACCCAGATGGAAAAAAATTAAATTAAGTAGAGGTATAATGGAGGTATTAACATGGTTATGTGCATCTCTAGGCTGTCTGAGAGAATCAACTGTCACATTTAGGTTTATAAAATGCTCATAATCAGCGATCCGCTCTATTTTACACTTCGTGCCGAGTGGCTCATATGTCCTAGTAACTCGGAATATAATTATGATTTAAAAAAAAAAAAAAAAAAGGCCTGTTGCATTAAAGACAGAGTTGGAAACATTCCAAGTTACTGCATTAATTTAGTTCAATTTATACGAACGTGTTTCATTCTGCTAGGGAAGGTTAATTCACCAAGCTCCATTTCCTGCCTTAATCATCCACCATAAGGATATTAATATGTCATATTAATGCCACACATTGCTACTGTGAAATGTGTAGTCCAGCCTTTAGCAGTTTTTAACTACCTTTGAACTAGTGGCATATCTATACGTAGACTTTTTAAACTGCTTTTTTTTTTTTTTTGTATATTGGGCGTAATATAAGAACAAAGCATTTCAGCTAGAGGATTTAAACTAATTGAACCAAATTTGAACTGTCCACGACTTGCACACTGCTGTTGCCACAGTAGCCCATGGTTGAAATCAGCAGTCCTGTTTATCCAGTGGTTTATTATCCGCTCTACAACCATCGTGATAGCAGCTGTGAAATCTGCTGTCACATACAGCAGGTTTTTTAAGCTTCAGTGGCATTAAAAAGTAGATCTGGGGGCTATGAAGTTAACTGTTGGCCAAAACCGGGTGTCAGCCCTGACAGTCAGACAGGGCGAGGTGCCGTGTGCTCGGGCAGTACTAAGGCACAGGCCTGGAGTGCCTCTGGCACCTGAACACGGGGTCCCCTTCGGGGAACTTCTGCCGGACCCTTTACAGTGACAACTCAGCACAGCCAGGAGCGAGAAGGGGCAGCAGCGCGGTCACGAGGGAATTGCTCTCTGGCTTTTGGCATTACAGAGTCTCTTCTCCGTATAAAGATTTCTGCTTTAAGTCAACAGGAGGCAGAACTCGGTGCCAGGCTTAGTTCCCAGCCCAGCAAGCCCTTGTGCTGGGTAGGAAGGGCTGGAAGAGGAAGACCACTGCTCACTCTCCCATTTTCCGTCTGAAGAAGGACGTGGCACTCTTTGGTCCACTGGTGCACATGGGAGCGACACCAGTGGAAGCCACTGATGGCGAACCCTTCCCAGCATAACCAAGTCCTCATTATGCCTTCCATACCTGCTGGTGTTCAGATACTGTAACGATAGAGGTCTAGGAAACACGAGCTGGAAAAGGAGCTGGAAAATGCTGCTTCCTCCTGTAGGGCAATTTCCACCCTGAGAGACTGTTATATATAACTTTATTTTTTTTGTGGCAGAGCTTAAACTGAAGAGTCAGGGGTTTTTTTTTCTAAGCTATGCTCCATCACGTAGGTGACTGTGATGAAACATATAAATGAAAACTGACTGGGTTTTGTAACCTGCTGGGTCCTCAATAAAGTAAGAAGTTTGTATATACTGGGGGTTATAAGGAATATAAATACTCCTCTGTTAAAAAAAAATAAGAATCCTAAAGAGATGGGGTGCTTTTGGGCCCATAGTACATACAAGCACATACCATGTTTCTGAATCTCACCTGAAGAACACACCCTGTGCTACTGCTGGGGGCAGATCCATTAAAGGAGCACGTATGCTGCAGTGCTGAAGAGGAGAAGGTGTCAGCTGGAAAATGCTGATATTTAAGGCACTGCCTGGTAACAGTCTTTATTACAGTGTATGTTATTGCTGTATGTAGGATATCAGACATGCTTCTTGGCTTTTTCATTATTCCTCTCAGGCTTTCAAACCACAAACCCAATTTCTCTGTAGATTTTTCTCTGCACAATGGTATCTTAGAGAGCACTAACTCTGAGCCTGAACCAAGGAAGCAAGTTTTATAGCAGGTGACTGCTCCTGGAACTTTATAGCAGTGACTTAGTTGGACCAAATGGCCCTTAACTTTTAACAGAGCCATTTCTCAGTCTTCATGAAGGTGAGCATGCTGCTTGCAGAGCTCTATATGGAATAGCATGTTAAAGCTGTTGCAATAAATCACTTGCTTCAAAAATAGACCTTGTATTTAGAGAAGTCATGGAGCCAAGTTACTCCAAGCACACATCATCCCCTCAGTGTATAGTTCTGCAGCTCTGCTAATATTTAATTTTAACTGTATGCTATGCAGAAGTTATTTTCACAGGGGGGAAAAAAAAAAAAAAGCTACTAGGTCTGTTTCTAGCTTACATCATAAATCAAAGAGAGGTTACTTCACGTGTGCTCAGAGCTTTGTATCTTTGACTTTAGGTGTGCAAAATTGGAAGTTGCTTCCTGAATATATCACTTTGCAAGGTGAACAGAGATGTCGTAAGAGGCTCAGAGACGTTCTGCTGTTAAAGATTTCAGACACAAAATACGTATGCAAGTCTTGAGTGCAAGTCTAGAATTCTTACATTTCACACGTTTAGTAGACAATGAATCCAGAGTTATGGCAGCTGGAAGTTTTAATTAAGAGTTTGACAAAGAATAATCATCTCTAGAAAAAGCTATAATAGCCTATCACACTATTTTTAAAATGAAATGTATTTTTGATTTCTAATTGCAACTTTAAAATACACTGGCCCCAAACCCTAATGAGATAACATAAAACTCTATCAACATGAAGCCATTTTTGTAAGAAATAATATGGGGCGAGAATGCTCAGAAATAAAGGTTTTTGCCTGCCATCCTCCTCTTTATCACCACGCGTTATCCTGACCACTGTAAGCTTGTGGCTACACTGGCTGAGGAATCACGAACAGGGATTTCTAAGCATTTTCAGACTATTTTGAATATGCAGATTTGAATGATAACAGACCATTTCAAAGATAGAATGAGCCATAACATGCTTAATTCATGTGAAACTGTGTTGTTGGTTTTTTTTTTTTAAAAAAGGGGTATTTCTCAAAGCCTTGTTTTGGATTGCTGTTATTCTGGATGAGAAGCTGTAAGACCAGAGAGAGGTTGGGATGAAAGCTGCCGTGTGCTGTTTCACAACGTTTCACTTTCTGAATTGCAGTACCCTTCCTATTAAAGATCCTCACGTAGACAGTGCCTCTCCGGTGTATCAGGCTGTGCTTAAAACTCAGAACAAGCCTGAAGATGAAACCGAGGACTGGAGTCGCCGTTCTGCCAATCTGCAGTCTAAGTCCTTCCGCATCCTCGCGCAGATGACCGGAACAGAGTACAGTAAGTCGAGTAACAAAACACCCCCCTCATCCCGATCTCAGCCTCCTGGCTTCCTTACCTCAGTATGAGCAAGTGATACTCAGGGAAGACTCACGTCAGGCTGTAGTCACTGTCAGCGAGAGCTGAGCTCAGAGAACCCTGGAGGTGACTTGAACTAGGAAGCCAGAATGGTCAATCTCACCTTATGCTTTACGAAGAGAATTATTTGATCTGCAAGGTCTCACCATAAAAGTATCACAGACTGTACAGCAAAAGACCCCATAGTTCTTGCTTACAGATCAAATTCCTGCAGCGTTAATCTTTCATTTTCCAGCAGCCTAGACATGCAAAGCTGACAATTCATTAGAAAAAAAGATAAACAATTTATGTCTCTCTTAACAGTCTTTTAGAGCAGAGACTTCTGGAGGTCAAAAAAAAAAAAAATCATGGATCAGCACTTGTATTGAACCTGTATTCCTGTCAGCCCTGTTACCTAAACCTAGACCTGCTGTGAATGCCATGGGAGCTTGAACTTATGTTCCTTGTTGCCTATGGAAATGTTTATTTATCACCTGGTACAACCCTCAGAGCTTGTTTCTGAGCTAGAGAGAAGGAAATTCAGGGACCTTTCCCACACCAGGGGGAAAATACTCAGTCTTTCCTCCTCATGAATCTACTGCTGCCTCTTGTGCTTTCCTACAAACCAGCAGGCCCTGTGTAGGATCATTGCCTACAGCTGCGAAACTGCTAATAAATGAATGAGAAAGTAACAGCTATTCTCTTAGTAACATTCTTCTCTAGGGAGCTGCTCGTCTTCATGCTGTTCTTACAAAATCCACTGCTGCAAAGTCAGCATGACTGTCCCTTTAGACAGGCTTCTACCTTTCTAATGAACTTCTAATTTCATCAGAAAGCAAATTCCTTCTTTTCTTTCTTCCTTTATTAACGGAAGCAATTTTTTTGCCTGCAGTGCAAGATCCAGATGAAGAAGCCCTGAGGAGGTCAAGGTAGGCAACTCCCTGTGAAAAATATGGCTTTGTCCTTACCGATAACCAAATAATGATTTAAAACAGCATTAATGTGAATGTTTATTATTATCTTTTTCTCCTAAAATATTCTAATACGTTTACTTAAAAATCACTAAAATTAAAATGCTATCAGTGAGAGGTATTTGAATGAAAAGGATAATAAATGAGCATGTTTTTAGGAAAGACAGTGTAAAATTCCTGAAGTGTGTGTTCCAGTCTGAGAGCTCTGCACATGCAGTTTCCGTGTACTTTACTGGGTGTGTGAATGCAGTGAGTTCCTGAGATGAAGCCCTCAGTAACAACTTGATTGTGTAACGGGGTGAAAATAGATAATGTGATAGTACTGAAATTCGTGAGCAATTTATTTGGATGACCCTGTGATGTATATTTTGATTTTTCTGAAATGATAAAGGAGTTTTTTCCATCCATATCTATAATCATTTGCTTATGTTTTGCTTGGAATAAAAACAACCCGAATTTGTAGAATATGGAAGCACAGGACTGCTTTTGCTAGGGGATAAATGTATTTGTTTCATATGGCCTACCAAAACCACTGAAAAAGTGGATCTGTTCAGTAAGAAGGACTTGAAGATTTATTATCATCTTGTGTCGTCCTGCATAGCCAGGAGATAGATATATTAGATTCTTATGTTGAGTTTAAAAACTGAGTCAGAGCATCCTGCATGCAAGCCTGAGTTTCTCTCTGCATACTTCAAATCCCTGTACAACGTTGGCTACTCTGAGCCACTGGCTGGGTTTGTGATGTTTGATACTCAATCCACTGTCTCTCTTTTTAAATATTTTTTTTTTTTTTACTGCCATATGGTTTCTATAAAAGTTCCGAGCTTTTGATCACAGTACAAGTTACAAATGTTGAACCAGTGAGAAAGATGTCTATCTTCCCTGTGAAAATATAAGTATACTTCCAGTTCATGTTTGTTATTACAGGTCACCGAAGTTCACGGCTAGGTGCCTGAACATCAGGCTTGACATTACATCCCTCAGGGATTTATTTCTTCCCTCAAATGTTCAAGCCTAATTCTTACTAAAAGTATAGTGCATTATCTGCTTAGATGTAACAGCACACACCCAATTCCTCATTATGATGGGGTTTAAAGCTTTGTGCTGAATTTAACGGCCCCCCATACATATCTGAGAAGCAAATGTTTTAAAGAAATAATCTTTATAGCTGTAGTCTGTGGCTTTGGAAAATACTAGATATTGGAAACGTACCCTGGTATCAGTTATGTTGAAAATAATGATCCTGTAACACATCATTGTGTAAATTGCACATTCTGTTCAGTGTAACTTAAAGTACATGACTGTGCTCTGCACGTTTTCTGGAGTTTTGAGGTATCACTGTGTTCCCCAGGAGTGTATTTAGGCACAGGTGTATTACCTAGAGAAGTTTAAAGGCATTCACTGGGAGCAGAGGCAGAAGTGAGTACATACTCGGTAGTTACACAGGTCAGTGTAAGTGACACGAGCTCTGGTGCAAGGACTGAAACATACTCTCCCACCTACCACTGACAGGGTTTGCCCCACCTTGGTGGCTTGGCACCTCCCTCAGACGTTGCACATACTCCACTGCAGATTTGGCAGCAACAGCCCTGGTTGTGCACACACCCACCGTGTGCTGCCCTTTTGGGCCTATTGGACCCCTTCAGTTTAATCTTTTGGCAAAGCCCTGCTGCTTTTGGCTTTTGCAGAGGATGGAAAGATGCACAGAATCCATACGATGGTGAAGCAGGCACTCCTCTGCAGTGTCTACTCCAGACAGCCAGTACCACCACCCCTTTCTCCGAGCTCACACTTTGGGATCGCCTGGAAGGCTTCCTGGGCTTCCACAAAACTCTGGAACCCGAGGCTTTCCAGAATCATTGTTGCAATAATTCCATGCTGTACTGGCATTCTGGAAAAATCCTCATGTTCCAAAAGCTGAGCTGCCAGAGATTTCAGAGTGTGGGGAATTCTGGTGGTGCTGTGAGCAGTCTCTCCCTGGTGCTTTCCCTGGTCTGTGTCAGCTCTCCGGTGTAGCCAGCAAGACGGGCATGAAATGGTGGTCAGGTTTCTTCCAAACACTTGAGGATGGAAAAAAAAAAAAATACACTTAGCTTATTTTTGGCAGAACTGTTTTACACAAAAATAGTCACTTCTAGATTGCTGCTTCTAACTTCAGGACGTACGCTCTGAACAGCACCACCAAGGCCTTAGAGTCCTCAGGTGGCAGAACATTCCTTTTGGCTCATGTTCATCAGCGCGTTGCATGACTGGCCTTTGCTCGTGCTGCTGCTGTTTTGAAGGCACACGTCAGATTATAACTTGCTCTGAAAACTTGCCACTGCTTTTGTGATGATTGTTACGGAATGTTTTCCAGGAAGATGGAAATTTCAAGCCAAAGAGCTGTTTCTGCATCCCTTCTCCTTGCATGGAGGGGTGTATCTTCAGAGCAGTAGGAATTCTTAAAGTCCATGTAAGACCCCCCGTAGGTACCGTGCTCTGGCATCACTTGAAGGTTCAGCTAGGAATACATTATATATTTTAATAACTTAAAAGCATAAAAGACAGTTTGAGAAGTCATACATCAAGACTCCTTTAGGAGTGTTACTTGAGTGACACTGTGTTATTAGGAACAGAAGATGTAGAAATATTAGTGAATTTGTTGGTATTTACTCTGTTTATTGTTTTGTGCTTTCTTCAGGCTGAGAAGTAAAACCAGCCCAGTCTGTTCATTTCTGTTTGGCTGGTTTCATTCTCAAGTTCTGCTGCATTAACACAACTGTCTTGCATTTTGGGTGTAAATAATGAGAGGAAAATTACCTTGTTTGCAGTGAATCAAATGCGTTTTGCAAATAACAAGAACATTTTATTTTCAGTTCTGTTTTATATATTTCTTGACTGTGCTCTCATCCCATATCCTCCTCTTTCCCCTTTTTATTTACAAAACATGAACATCTAGAAAATACTAAATCCTGAGAGGTGCTGAATGTTGCTGACCACTTGCTTGAGCGCCCCATTCTGCACTCAGAGGTAGCTAGGGGTGTTTGCAGGAGGTGTCCAGGGCTTCACAGGACTGGGCTTTGAAAAATCCCGTGTCATTCTGCTTTGCGATGGCCAGAAATAATTATGCAAATATCAACACTGAGACTCACTCACCCTGGGAAGAGCCGTAGGAAACTACTGCTGAAACCTGTGACTGATGGTCCTTTTGGGAAGGACAGCAGGGTATATAAAGTCTGACCTAGGTATTACAGAATGGAAAATATTTGCATGAATTTTGCTCTTGTACGGAGTTAACTTTCACTGCCTGCTCAGCTGGGGGAGGGGGGGAAGCCAACAGAATCTCTGGCAGGAAAACAACGGGATTACACTGCATTTCTAGCAAAAGCAGCCCTGTAATACCAAGCACAAGTCAAAAAATATAAGGTTGTATCGAGTTACTTCTCAGAAATGAGCAACTGCAAAATTTTTCACCCGAGGTCCATGAAGGCTCAGCCAGCCTTCTTTCTGCTGATTTGAAAGCTGAGGAAAAATCCAAATAAATTGCCACTGCCCTAGTTATAAGGCAGGGGAGTGGTAGCCATGGTCCCTAACCCCTTTCTTTCTCCCTCCTTTCTTTCTTCTCTGTGTGTGTCTCTCTGTCTCTCTCTCTCTGTCTCTCTTTCTTCATGCCACAGGGAAAGGTTTGAAACGACCCGTAACAGCCCACGCTTTGCCAAATTGCGCAACTGGCATCACGGCCTGTCAGCGCAAATCCTTAACGTTAAAAGCTAAAAGCCCACGTTTAGCAGGCAAATACACGAGACAGAGAATTGCAGTAAAAAATCACCTGCTGTCCTTAGAGCCTAGGAGTGTCACACACGCAGGGGAGCCTTGCTGCTAGGGCCAGTCTCTCTTGTGGATCTCTGTTGTTAGCCTGTCACCAGGGGTACAAATCATTTTACAACCTGGTTCACGTTCTTCGTGATGAAGTAGATTAGCTTTTGTCCTTTCCTATATCAAATGTAACTTCCACAGACAGGAAAACATCACTATTGCACTCTCTTGACCTTAATTCTAGAAGAAAATGAGAGGGAAGTTACTGATAGCGTTTCTTTAGAAGAGGAATTAGACTTTTACAGAGCTTTACTGCTGTAAAGATAATTAAGTAGGAGAAAGGAAGATGAAAACTGACCGAGCCTGGCCTAGACTTTGCTAAATGTACAACGCAGTCTGCATAGCTGAACAATGCTGTTTGAAATAAGGCATTAGCGATGTGAAGTTAGATTCCTCCGATATATTATACTGGTAGAAGTCATTTGCCGAACCGTTGCTGTTAAGTTTTCTGTTGGAAACCCGAATCTGTCGTTATATGAAAGCTAGAGATAGCTGTGGTTGCTCAGGATCTGTGAGGAAAAACCATTTGGCTAGAGGTGATTTAGGAGTGAGAAGAATATATAGTACTACCGGTGCACTGAAGTTTTTAAAAGCATCTTGTAAGTTTTAAGGAATATGTAAGTTTTAAGGTATCTGTTGCCCATTCTGTATTGCTCTTGCTTTGACCCACGTTTTTTTTCTGTATATAGCAGCATGCTTTATCTGAAATAAAAGGTTTTAAAACTAAAATAATTATGTGCCTGTTTTACACAGTACTTTGTTATGTTTTAAAAACAATAACTGCTTCAACTGAATCTTGAAAGGAGAACTTTTCTTTCCGCAATAGGAGAAAGCTTTTTGACCAAATTTTCTAATTCTTACTGACTTTTCGGGTATCTGAATTAGAATAAACCTGACAAAGCAGTTGAAAGAACAACAAAAGAAGTGGAAAAAATACTTCATTAGGTGTGAATGAAAATAAAGCATAATTAATAGGTGTTAGATGGCAACCTGTTGATGATACCCTTTAGCATTTCCATCTGAATAACATGCATTCTCTGGCAGTAATTATTACTTTGTGCCCCTGGAATTTGTACCAGCAGTCCACACAAGAACAAAGTTCATTCGAGCTTCCATTGTTTTTCTGTGTTATAGAAGAAAGGAAAAGCTACTGTTAATGGAGAATTTTCCATGAATCAACCAAATACTGGAGTGTTTAAAGGAAAAAAAAAAAAAAGCTATCATACTTTAAAAAAAAAAAAAAAAAAAGTTTTTTTGGTAATATTTAAGAGTATATGAGCACTAGTTCCTTTTAAAATGCATTTCACTTTTCTTAGCCAAGTACCGTAGCAATTCAGTAAGCATGCCACTTAGTACAAAGCAGTCATTTATATTTTCCCTGTGGGAACACAAGCGGATCCTGACCATACCAGCTTATTAGTGCCTGTGGAAAATCAACATAACTGCATGAAGTAAGAGCAACATCTTAACTTTTCCTGAATGTTGCTAAGATCAAACTTTGGTTCAGAGTGGGTGAATCTTATTCACATATGGTAAATTTTGACAGAATTTAAAATATCAATAGGCAATTTACTTTTTTTCATAAACATCAAATGTACCTAAGTAAAAAAATCTTTTGGTTCTAATTTTCAACCAAATTAAATGGTTTTCTAAATAAGTAATAATGCAGCGTTTTCACTTAAACAGGAGTTGTGTATCCCTAATGTTTTATGAACATAATACAGATACTGTTTGTTTCAAGTAGTCCTAGTACATGTTCTAATAATGGAAGAGAAAATGTCTAGATTGCATCTCAATGTTTACACTTAATGTCATCTGAAAAGTTATTTTTTTTAATAAGCAGAACAGCATAGTTTGATCAGATATGAAATTAATGCAGATGTAATTAAGAAACCCCTTTTCCTTAGCTCTGCTTCAGTGAATTTAATGGTAAAAATTCAGTGTATATAAACCACGTAATCAGATATAGTTGTGATCCTTTTTCCTGGAGGATACAAAATAGCATCTAAACACTCTCCAAGCTTGTAGAATTTCAATTCTTCATGTAACTACAGAAAAAAAAAATAATAGAAAAATTCTTTGGTAGTTGGTAACTTTTGCAGTGATTAAAAGACCTTTTGTGAAGGTGCTGTCACTAATCCCCAAGGCAAGATGGTTTAGCCACAGCCCATGTCTGCTGCTTGGTGCAGTCCCTCTCAAAAAACCTCCCAAGTGATGGGCTTTGTTAATTAAACTGTCAGTCGAGTTTTTCTGTTCAGGTTTTGTTTATATTTAGACTAGTAATTCCTTAACTCCTCAAAAATCTGCCTTTATGTTGTCATGGTGATCTTCAAGCCCAGAAAATGAATGTTACAGATCTTTTTTCTATACAACTGTTAAGAGGCCTTGTTTTTTCATCCTGAGTAGGAGGCAGACTTTTTTCTATAAGGTGCAGGAATTAGGCTGGATGTGTCATTCTACTACATCTCAGTGCTAGAGGCTGTAATAGACTTAAGCCTGAGATGAAGTCATTAACAGCTTTAAGAAGCCACTGGCTTTGTTCTAGCAAAAAGTCAAGCCAGGCCTGGGTACACCCTGGTTCTGATGTGTCCAGGCTTGTCTCCCTGGACGTTGCTTCTGACTGACTAATCCCCTCTTGCCGTGTTTCTTGACCCTTTGCAGAAGCCTGCCACTTTACCTGGGAAAAGCAATCTCAGTTATCAACAGTGAGGCTTAAAATAGGTTCCTGGCTGAAGACTTGGTGACTCATGTAATTCTGTAAAATAGTGCTGATGGCAGGCAGGTCCCATGCTGTCCCACGCTGACTGTACTCTGAACTGTGACTGTTCTGCTGAGCGGAGGACAATGGTTTGTGACAATACTGCTTCTAAACAGCCTCCATGCCAAAAATAAAGTAAAATGCAGAATGTGGATAGTGATATTAACCCCCTGCCCTTCCCAGTATTGCCAGTAAAGCATAGTGTTATAAGCATTTAATGAAGATACGGCAAAGCTGATGCCAGTAGGAAATCAAAAGGCCTTCCAGGTAAATCTGCTTGTCTGGTTATGACACAGGGAAATGCTCATTTTCTGCTGTGGTATGACCGTTTGATCTAAACTAACCTGTTTCCTGAATGCTGCTGCCTTGCCTTTTACTCCAGCGGTGTTCTCCTCACCCCTTGGTGCTCGGATTCCAGCAGGAGTACTGACTGCATGCAGCGTGCGCTGGCGGGATGTGGCTGGAGGGTGACTTAGGAAAGCAGGCATGAGAACTTGACCTCTCTTCCCTTCATGCATGAAAAAAAATGACAAAAGGAGAAAGGTTCTGTGGCTCCTTCCCTTGCCTCCCTCTTCCCACGTGTGCCTGCATGGGAAGGAGAATAAGTTTTTGCGCTGTAATAAACACAGAGGTCGCTTGCTCTGCGTTACGTTTTCTCTCTCGTTATGCACAACTGCAGGGAGTTTATCTTCAGTGGTGAGGAACAACTATGTTAGGGACTACTTCATCGCTTTTGAAAAGTCCAACTCTTGTGTATCAGAGCTGTCTGCAGCCTCCTTCAGGGGCAGAAGAGGTGACACCGATTTTTCACTCGTGCACTCAGGTTCCCACAGGGACTAAGCTGATTTTGTGGCTTTAGCAGTGTCTGCCATAAGTTTTAGTGACTGAGACTGTCACTACATGTATCAGAAAATACGTGAATACTTGCACAAATTTTAGTTTGCACAGTTAGAAAGCCAGCATTTTGGTATGGTACCTGGTAGTACCAGATGATGACTCTCTTTAGTCAGCCTTTAATCAACAGCTTTCTGCAGTATAAACAAAAGTGAATTGACTAAAAGTTGCTCTCAAGCACAATAACGTTCTTTGTTCTACTGCTGCTTATCAAAGCCCTCTGACACCACCAAGACAAGCGAAGGCACCTTGATCCCCTCTTTGATTTGCCAGAATTTCCCATGATGAGCGTTGCTGACCTGTACAACTGCCAAAACCTTCCCATCCATACGCTAACCAGATTACCAAAATCCTTTTGAAAGATACACCTTATTTTTCCATAACAGCCCATGAAATAAAGCAGACTTCTACAGGTAGCTTTCTTATTTAAGGAACGTAACTGCAATAAAGAATAATAGTCATGTCAGTTTAATATATTCTGATCCCCACTTCTAGCACCTAAAGAGTGACCAAAAAGGTAGGAATAGTGAAATAACTCAATTGTCTCTATGGAATTGTGACTGAAATCAGAAGGGAAAATTGATCAAATATAGCATGTTTCTTCCCCAAAATACTTCTGGAAGTTCTGCGGGGAAAAATTAATTTAGGGATTATAAATTCCTTGGTTTTAAGGCAGTTCTCTGTAGAACCAGTTGATCAGAGATGGTGACCATAAGGTATGGTGTATCCACTCGAATGTGCACACTCAAAATTGAAAGAGTGAGGCCTGCAAATGAAACTAGCAAACACTGTGAAGCTTTTCTCCAAACAGTTCCTAAAGTAATGCATAAGCTATCAGAGCTTGTTAAAGCTCGAGATCCATCTCTGCAGGTGGGTGTGTGTACACTGACCTATATTTAACATCTCATCTTTACCACCTCGGTCTTCTGCATGTCCCTGCCTCGCACTTAACTTTTGCACGGGCAGTAATTAACAGCCCTTTAATTGCTGCTGCGCACCCTTCGAGGTTCTCGTATGCATCCTCTGCTGATGTAGGTGGCTAACCAAAACACGGATGGACAATGCTCCCTTTCTCCCTGACTGCTCCCTTGCGTTGCCTTCAGTCCAACAAGGAAAAAGCAGTTTTTGCATGTAGCAGGCTTTGCAGCCAGCACATGTAACCCAGAGGTATTCAGCTGTGGTCTGTGGATCATCACATTGGCTCAGAGCTTCGCTTAGGGTGAGCTGGAGAGCTGGCTGATAGCATAGCACTGGCACTGCTTCCTTTTATTCTGCTTCTAAATTGCATTAATGTCAGCAAAATTACCCTAAGTACTAATAACTTCCTAATAGTTCATTTCCACATAAGCATTTGTTGTAGTTGACCCAGAATGTTACACAATTACAAATGAGAGAGAGGGAAGGTAAGAGAATCCTTAAGCGAGTTTACAAAATAAAATGTAATCCACATTCTGAGAGAATGAGAGCTGTTCTCGTTCGTAGCACGCACTTACTTGGCTCAAGAGCTGAACAGAAGAGACACGTCAGCTTCAAACGTAGGATAATGCCGTGTAGACAAAGTATGAATTTTCTTATCAGTGTGCACAAACTAGGAAGTAGTTCTAAAGAACTACCAGCTGAAATTGAGCTCTGTGGACTCTTGTTCTTCTCTCAGCTTCTCTGGGTAAAAGCGAGGTCATGATGAGAAGGAACCCTTTGGTGAAAGGGGCGTCATTTCCCGGGGTGCAGTCCCGACGTGTGTTGTGCCTCGGGTCTGTCTGTACTGGCCCCAAGCTGAACGCCCCGACGCTGTGTTCAGGTGCCTGGTGGCAGATCCCTGCACGTTACCAGCGGGGCTGTAAGAGGGAACCATTCAGATCAATCCAATTGCACCCTTAAGGCCAGGAGAGGCAACAATTATCTGAACTATATCCCAGCTCAAATTGCTCCACATACTCAGAATTTTGTGGTCTTTGTTCTCATTGAAGTGGTGTGTTTGCCAGTAAGATAAATCGGAGCACATACACTTGCATGCCAAATATCACTATGTAAACCTTGGGAAAGAGCAATCTTAACTTTCACCCACCCCGATGCTGCTGTATTTGCAGCTGCATTCATCATTTGACTGTTAAGTATAACAGCATACCAGCAGATGCCACTAAAATGCATCCGTAGGAGGTATTTGCTTTGATTTTAGTGAGCTGCTTTGACTGAGTTCCATACTACTTGTCGAGAATGAGTTGCTGATGGTTTGTTCTTCCACCGAGTCTATGACAATGCTTTTCCTGTTCTGTGGCACTGTCTGCACAAACCCAGTTACCTTCTGGGAGAGATGTATTTCCCTGTTTTGGAAAGCAGACATACGAGTAGGATATACTGCAGTTGTTTTGGCGTGGGCTGCTCACGTTCTTAACTACAGTGGCTGAAAAAGAGAGACTAGCTCTTCTATCCCTTTTTTCAGATCACAAGCTAAAGTTTTAACTAAACCAGCATGATAGTTGTCTTCTGTCCTCTCCAGTTAACTGCCTATGATTTCTTTGTGTGTCTTTGTTAAGGTAACAAAAATACAACTGGGGGGGGGACGGGGGGGGACACGACAATCTTAGTTTTATATTCATCTGACCATTGAAAATTCTCAGTTGCAAACACAGAAAGGTAGGAATAGCTTGATTGGATCAGAAGAGCAGTTAATCTGGCTCAGCGTCCAGTTTCCAACAGTGTCAGTATCCCAGGCCTTTGAGACAAAAAGTTTGGAATGCAATTATAAATAGCTTTCACACAACTTTACTCCCAGACACCCTATAAGTTTTTCTTTTAAAATTATTTTGTGACTTCTACTTCTTAAAAGGAAATTTTATTTGTAGGCAAATATATTTATGTAAATATGTGTTAGGATGAAAGCTATAATGTCTAATAAGGGCAAGTTCTGCTGTACTACTAGAAAAACAGAATTTTAAATTTCAATAAATATAGACCCTAATAATTTGTAAGTCTTAATAACTATTCCCTCTTTGAAAAAAGGCCAGTGTATATCTGTCAGGTTCTGTAAAAGACTATTGGATGATCAATACAGGAAAATACTGATAAACTGAATAATAATATTTATTTAAAAATCCATGATCTCTTACTAAAGAGGGTGAGATGACATTTTAAATACTCAGTTGGAATTCAGGAGAGCTTCAGTGCTTTGCCCCGCTGTGAACCTTCTTTTTGAGCATGAGCAATTCTATTAGGTTTTAGTTCCTCATTTGTAAAATGAGAAAAATAGTCTTGTTCCATGAGAATACAGGGAAACAAATCGATTCTAGCATTCACTTACTGCTTTAGTACTGAAAGACAGAGAAGAGTTGAAGGACCAGGAGGTCTCTTGGGATGCCTGATGTTCCTTACGTCATCAGATCTTCGTTACAAATTAAACGATTCTGTCTCTATTTTAATGGAACAGAGAGTAGCTGTTCGAGAGGGAGTCTAGATCTGTTATTCTCTAAGGAGAAGGTAGATGGAAGGTGCACAAGCTCCACATCTCAGGTCGCCCGTTAAATGTACATGTTTGTTTGGGAATCTTTGACATTTGGTTTCCAAAAATAAAATAGACTGGGAAAGTATTCCACGTCCAGTATGTGCAGTTCAGATTCAAGAGACTCATTTACTAGAAACTCTCTGAAGTTTCTTCAGGCTCATTTTAGGATCCAGTAGCACACACAAACTTGGCTTGCAAATGAATTTTACTCAGATCATTGTAATTCTTGCTACTGTGTGGGAGAGAAAGACTATTTCTATCATTTCATTCACTCTGTCCTTATGGCCATATCATGTAGCACATTTTACTGAAGAAGAAACATTTCATCGCTCCCACTGTATAATATACTGTGTCATTAGGAAGACAGTACATTGCATTAATTCTGAGACGCATGTCCAATATTTAATAAAATCTGTGGGAGCTACACTGTTGTCTCAGAACAGTCGTTAAGGTCCTTCTATCAAAAGCCATTTCAGCTGAGGGCTAAAAGGCCGGCAGACAAAACCCATTAATATTAAACCCTCCCCGGTAGCTCAAGCCTGCTGTTCACTACTGTCAGTTGTAGCCTGTGTAGCCACAGAGATGCAAACTGCTCATAATATTTTGAGCCAAATTCTTTCATGTTGTGAAGGTATCAGCTTCACTGAGCCTGCCTCAGGGATGTGTTTGACTCAGAAAGAAAATTAATTCTGCGTTTAGTTAGCAAAAAATATTTGATTGTAAGGGCTGAAAATCCAACAGTCTGCTCCTCAAAATGCAGATATTGCCACTAAGAGACACATCTGATCCCGAGCCTTCCTCACTGTTAGCCAAACAGGAGTTGTTTCTGTGGACTGGGAAGAGAAATCGTTTCTGAAAGCAAAACTATGAAGAAGTACTGTGTGCCTTTGAGCTCATCTTTCCCTTCACTCTTTGCCTGTTCCTTTGCTGTATTCTGTGGAAGTATGTTTACTATACTTCTCTCTCTCTCTTTAACCTTCACAACTCCCCTGCCATTGTCACTGAATGTTGCCCTATACTTGTACACTCATGGAAAAAGCTTTCATGAAATCCTGACCTCAAAGTCAAGTGAGATTTTTCTGCGTTCTTTAGCACAGCCAGAGCTAGTGGAGCAAAACAGTTTGGATCAGATTAATAGTAACAACAGAGGCCTAACACTGCTTCTGCCTGACCCCACCTGCCTGCCTTTTGGTCTTTACTACAATTTCTCATAGAGTATTTGGTAACACTGGAAATAAACAATGCTTTATTATTTTCAGGCTTGACTGTGTGTTTTACCATTCTCGCATGATTGTGGCTCTCTATACTAACACTTCTCCCCACAGGGGCAGTTTCTAATCCATCTCCTCTACCTTGTTTCATCCTGGCTTTCCTACACCTGACATCCCCATGAACTCACAGCCTGGTGACCATAAAGATAGTGTTTGGTTTCTCATTGCTTTAGAGTGGTGAACCAATTGATCTTACTGGGGAGTTACTTTTGAGATGGGTTCTTCCATTCCGACCATAACAACATTCTTAGTCATACAGCCACGTGTCAGGGTCATTTAAGATCTCCTTCTGGGTTTGAAAATCTGTCTTCGGTTCATCTATTTCAGGGGTTATGTTTTACTTAGAGGTTTTAAAAATTGGTAGGGAACACCTATGCCTAAACCTTTGCTGATGTGTAAACTGGACTGGTTTTTAAAACTTTATTGGAGCTAAAGTAGGGAAAGAGTATATGACTGTACATATATACATAAACACTGAGAGAAATATATGAAATACCACTAATAATATGGAAAACATTAAGACTAGCCTTCCAACTGTGAGAATGATTGGTGCCCAACAAATCCACCTAAATAAATACATGTATTCCTTTTTTTTGAAAAACATTTCTAGAAGGAAGGTTCAGTTGGGAAAATGAGGACATTTGCTTTGTGTTTTGTAATTTTAGATCCCAGTTAAGAAAAATGTGCTAATTTGGCATATTTCACCTTTAAATGTGTTGAAATTCCAGCACAATTCCTTAAACAGGAAAGGACACAACCACTCACGGAGCTGCTAAATATTGGGACTACAAACTTGGGAATCTAAGGCGAAAGGATTCTGTCCTGTAGGAAAACACCTATGTCTTGTTCCACATACGCAGGTGTTTGCACTTGCACTGCCCAGTGACTTCTGTAAGCATGTACGTGTGTTGACAGAATAACAGCCTAGTTCTGTCACTGAAGTTGAGGCTGACTCACTCCTCACCCCAATAAAGGAAAGATTTCACCTGTTCCTAATCCAGTTTAGATTGAGAAAACTAGTAGTTACTTGGGGAGGACAGAGAATTTTTAAGTGGTGCCAGACATCTTGTATGAGTCTTTGTTAACCATTTGGCTGCTTATCACTTCAAAATACTCTGGATCCTTGAGGACTGCCCAAGTCTGATTATTTTTACCACTTGGAGGTGGCATCAGAATATGCTCCTCTGGAACAGTCTTGAAATTTTCTTTTAAGAGGGAACTTAAGTCAAAACTACTGAAATTATATACGTAAAACCTCTAGTTTGTAACTGTTAATTTTCTTTCATTTTACTTTAATATTGAAACGAAGTTGTTTGCAGCTGAGAAGCACATAGAGCAAACCTGCACATTTGGTGGGTCTCACTCGGAGAGCTGAAGAGGTTTCTCACAACTATATTTATGAGCAACCACTCTAGGATGCTTTTTGCAACCAAACATTGCTCCTCAACCCATCTTCTTTCTCCCTGTTGTTTGGGGTTTTTTTGCCACCACTGGCCATTGCATTTACTTTATTCATGCTGTATCCCCTCCTTTCACAGAGACAAGGAAAATGTTGCTGCAGCATCAGAAAACAGGTAATGTTTGCTCTGTGTGTTTGGCTTACCTCCTGTGCAGACCTTACCTCCACGCTCCCCATACTGTTCTTACCTCAAACACCTGAAAACTGTACACTGAGCAGATGATGGATGTAGAGGTTTCAGCTAAATGGATTTGTTAGACATTTCTTTCTAACGTAGACTTCAAACAGCTCTGTGAGATGGGGCGGGCGGGGATCGTGGGTCTCAAAACATAAATCTGGAAAGTAAGATGCTTTTATCAAACACTCTCGAAATGGAGCGTTGTCGGTTTGTGATGGAGTTTTGAGAAAATTTCCAGTTTAAACTTTGTCTAAATTGTTCAATATGGTTTTAAAATCTAAATAAGATTGTCTTGATGGTATTTTAAGAACATTTATATGTCAGATTCTTGCATATCTTGACTGATCCTCCATGAGCTACGAGGTTCAAAACATGGTATCTCTGTAAGCCAGCTCTTACATTTCAGAAGTTGTTTTCTCCAGAGAATCTCAGCACATGTTGCGGTTCATACAGAAATGTTTTGTGTTCTGTCGGTAGTTCATATACTAAAGCACAGATACTTCTTGAGTGAATATGACCAGTTGTTTAATGGAGCAAAGAAATGCTTCTTGTTGGTTTGCCATGAAAAGAATTCTGTCTCACTGCTTTCCTCCGTCTTGTTGATTCCTGCCTAAACAACGCACAACCACTTTTTATTTTTGTTTTTTATAAGACTGCTCCCATTTGAACAAAGGTTGCATAGTTAAAATCCCAAGTGCGGGCATTATCATTACTGATGACCAAGGGCAACTGGCACTTGGAGCAGTAGAGAAAATTGATTTTTTTTTTCTTAAATTAATTATGTCAAAAGAATGAAATAAACCTCTTGATTTCTGTATAACAACAGTATATAAATTAAATTGAAAAAAACAAGTAACAGGTGTTAGCATTTCACTAGCAGTTTCATGTGTGTAAAGTCATCTACAAGGACTGTGCAGCTGCTCTGCTGAAATATTTTTGAAATGATTTTATTTTATTTTACCAGGAACAATTTCTGATGTATGACTGGTGGTAGTGTCATACTATATTGCCTTAATCATGCATGGTTTGTCACACCATAGCTTTTCTCCACCTCCATTACCATCACAGCTGTGCTCTATGTCTTATTTTGATATTCCTAGCAATATGGTTTCCAGACTTAACATGCGGTACTTTTTTTTTTTTAATTCTTAAAGCCCTTCCTAGTCTTAAGTGGTAATAAACTAATAAGATTTGTCATGATTTCATCTGCACTATCATGATGATCTCCTATGGTATAAAGAATTTGGGGATACAAAGAGAGGACACTGGATATTTACAGATAGAAATCTTCTTCCAGGAAAAAGGAAAGACAGAAAAATAAAGCTTTCATTATTAAACCTAGACTTGACTTTTCAGTTATGAGCTTTGGCACTTTTTGGGTTTTGTTTTGTTTTTCCTGAAGGCTTTACTCCATATGAACCATAACTGCTGTCTTAAAGGGCCAGGTATCAGTGTCCTATTTGATATGGTAGGCAGTAAGCACTTGTATCTCTGAAAATTAAAAAAACATGGACAAACCTTTTCCTGTTAAAACACTAGTTTCTTCTGCGGCTGGGATTCTGTCCCTCCCTCAAATACCTGCTATTGCCTAGGAAATAGGTGATGTGATAATCAATACCTCACTTACAAACCCCTTGTAATCTTTGCTACCCAGGCCTACAGCTGCTACTCATGCGCCACAGTATGTGACCTCAAGTATTTGGCATCCTCCTAAATCTTGCAGCACAGATGCCAACACTGACAGTGCTAAGCCAGTGGCCTCCAAGGGGTCTGTGAGGCTTGGAGCGGGTCCAAGTCAGAGGGAGGCCAGTTTCATCACTACTGGCCAGAAAGTCCCTCTTACTACATCCAGTAATCGAAGGTACACTGTGACGTGTAACTGCATCACTGACCTGGTTTGGAGCTTTGGAATGGTTTGGAATAACAACCTCTAACTCCGTCAGATGGAAACACCCGTTGCCCAAAAGGCAGCTGTCCAAGTTCGATGAATTCCAGCGACTCGTAGTTCCTGTGGGTTTTAGGTTTTAGTTGAGCTTTTAAGGATCACGCTTACAGGACGGAGACAACAGTCATTAAGCCCCTTCTGCAGAGGAACAGCAGCTATTGTTCACTGTATTTCTACAGACGTTCCCATATTCAAATGCAAAACTTTTTCACGTTATGTCTTTCTCTAAAAACCCTCTCCACGCATTTTTGCCACAAATGCCACAATAAGAGATAACTTTTGCCTACTCATATTTATTTTTGTTCCCTATGTTTTCATCTCTTTATAAGAGATCTGTTGGAGGATTTGAAACAAAAAGAGCTTCATGCATTACACAGAGGAGAATAAGTACTGCTCTAATAACCCACTCAATTGTTACCTGATTAGGAAGTCTCAAAATTTAGGATTTACTGAGGGAAGGAAGTGTAATCTGCCCTTATTTTTTAAATGTTAGAGTGTGTTTGTTGCTGTGTTTTCTCATTCTGGTTGTTAACCATTATTATCCTCTTAACCTCTACTGATCTGTGTTCCTTTTCATGAGTGAAAATCAGCTGAGAAGAGATATGTGTGTTTGTTTTCATCCACGTAACCGACTCACCTTTATACATTTTATGTTTGTTACCATAAATATGGAGATGTTTGAGAACATCCATTTCCTTTGATTTTCCTTAAAACACAAAATACTGTAAAGATTAAAAGTGTATAGAATGACTGTATTAAAAAAAAAAAAACAACCCACTAAAAATCTAACGTATGTAATAATGCAGCTGTTATAATAGATGATCTACTTTATAAAGCAGTATTCACACTTGTTCCTAAAATTCTTCTGCACCTGAAGAGCTAAAATAAAATACTATCAGTTTGAACATCTAGAAAGGAGGCAGTCTTGAGGAAAAAAAATGTTATTAGAAGATCTAAATAGAATTATTTAAAATTTATAGTGGTTAAAGTAAAACCAGTCGAGTTAGTCTGAGTTCTTTCTATAAAACTGAGTAGAGAATTAGTTACCAACTGCATATAATTTATGTAACCAGATCACCCTGATTTTTACAGTTATATCTACTTCATTTTGTATTTACTCCAATTCCTTGTTCCATTAATTAATATATTCAACCCTGCAGGAAGGTGATCAAGCCTCTAACATTTTAATCATATAAAAAAACCTATTACAAACAGCATGCAAGATAAAATGTGTATTTCTTTTAAATCTTATAAGGTATTCCAGTATATTTGCATTTATTTTATTTATATGTGTTTGTCCAGTTCAAATCTGTCTCCATACAGATCCGTGCCCACACATTTATTTTTTTTTCTTTTAAATCTTTATGACTGAGTCTGTATTGGTTAACATTTTGGAGATATTACAACAATTAAGTAACTTCACCGTTTTCTTCTATTCAAGGTATGAAGTCTTGATTCTTTTGAAATCTGTAGCAAATTCCCTTTTACATCAGTGAAATTATAAAGACAAAAAAGTGAAATCCTAGTTTGTATTTGGTTTTAGAACATACATTAAGTTCCATTTTTATGTGCAGTATACTTTCAGTCCTTTTCTATTTGCCAAATCAAAGATATGCAAGTCCTAATGTGACGATTCCAGTACCCACTATTGCACAAGGGGAAAAAAATCCTGTGAGTATTAAAACCGGATAACAGACTAGCCCTGATCCATAGCTGTGAGATATCGTGTAGCGGTACCCTGCTGCACAGGCTGTGTGATTGGTTCTGTATTAACGAAGTGGAAGAACTTACATCATAATGCAAATGCACCAAGGTGGAAGAACTGATCTGAATTTAAAATGCATATTGGGATGGACAAGCTTTTGCAAGACTTTTGGTGTAATGATTTGAAAGCAAGAATTGCGATCAGGATGAGTATTTTCAGGAGGTTATTTCTTATGCATATAACTGCAGGTGAAACTCATAATGGAGAAAATACTGATTTTCTGGGTTTGTCGTGGGTTGCATTCAGCTTTGAAATTGGCGGGTGAAACAATCACGCTTCCATTTCAGCTAATCAAATGGTAAAATACTCAGCTGAAGTAAGACATCACAATTTAGATTACTAAACCATACCAGAAGCCAGAGAAGAGGAGGAGGAGGAGGAGGACAGGGGAAAGGGGACAGTCCCTCGAAGAGCAGGTGGTATCACCAGTTCGGAGGTGCCAAGCACTCGTTCTAGGACCTGAGGAGTATAACTTGTTGAATCAGTGCTTTGAGAGAAGCAAAAAAATATATTAGATAGAATGGCTGAAAAACACAGAAAATATTTGCACAAGGGCAGGTTCGCATAGGAAAAAAAAAGCTGAGAGAATGAATGTTTGAGGGGTAAGGTTTTTCTGAAAAAGGCACGGTACTGTAAGCTTCCTTTTGTTCTTTGATACTGTGCTCTGGAAAGAATATTTAGGGCGTTCTCTGAACATGGCACAAGAGCATCGCTGAATTCCACCTGTAAGAACGCAGAGATGTGGCAATACACTTAGGAGTTAGGTCAAAAGAAGTAAAAATATATCCATTATATTCTTACACCGCTGCTCGTGGACAAGACACCCATGTCATGTACACTAATGCCCTGATTTAAAAAAAAAAAAGGTTAACTACTAAAGAAAACAAATCAACGATAATATGGCATCAAGAAAAATGTCCTTTGTGCCTGGGGGACATATGCTTATATGATCACTAAAGTTTGTGCCCCAAAATAGAATAATAATCTGAAAAATCAATTTGCAATTAATTATTTTTCAGTGGCTTATTTTTTTCTGTGGAGAAGAATTAATAAAATCCACGGGAAAATCTGCCTGAACACAAAATTCCACTTTTGTCTTTTCTTGTTTCTTCTCCCCCTGTCTCATTTCATTTTAAATAACCCAATGATTTTTCTTATGTTTATTGACAAGTGAATAACGAATGTACGTATTTTCCTTTTGTTGATATTAATTGAAACAGTCATCAAAGAACTCAAATCTTGTAAGTCCACTTAATGATTTTTCTTATTTTTTTTTCATTCGATGTAAGAGCTGGTAGAAGACAATAAACTGAACCTCCCAAAAGATTGGTTCATGTCGCAGCAGTGGATGGCTTTGACTAAATTATCTTGCAAAGCTGATCAATAACTTTGCCCATATGTCTGTCTGTAAGAGATGAGGAACACTTGCCAAGTCTGAGTGAGGCTGCAAGGCTGAAATACTGGGTGCTCTGCTAGCAGGTGATGAAAGACACCAATAGTTCAGTAGGTTACTAAAATGAACACAAGACAGGAGGTTAGATTTCTGTTATTATTAATTTCAATTAATTTATTTTGCAATCAGCTAAAAGAGAAAATGAATTAAACACTTCTCTGCTCCATGTTATCTCTGCCATGATGGCACAAGAGGGCCACAAGGATAACTTGTGCTCATCACCCAAGTGGTTGTAAAACTGGTGTAGTAAAACGTTATGCTACATTTTCCCCTTGCATTCTGGATACTGTTCTGTGTGTAAAAAAACATCTTATTTTTTGATGGGTTGGCCAGTGTAAGTAAGGTGAACTTGGGTCAGAAAAGAATGGACTCCTTTTGAACACCTTCCCACTACCTGTACTGCACAAAACTGATGAAGCCCAACACAAACTGTGCTGCCAGGATTTCTAGACTATCAGAACTTGCAGGAAAGCTGCTGATAGAGGACTCTAATATCCTTTAAATTGTTTTTCTTTATCTAATTACAAAGTTTACTCCTAACATAAACTTCAGCTCCAGGAGCAAATATTGAGTGAAATTTATCCAAGCTCAAAGAGTTTGTGACAGGCTCTTTGGAGCCATTTAAGTCCTGCCTGCCAGGGTTCCTACCACTGGCTTCAGCGGGAGCAGGACTTAAGTGCTGTGTAACACCTGGGATAAATTTCAGTCCCACAGGACCAGAACTGCATTACCTGCCCGTATGAAAAGGCATAACGAATGTCTTTTTTAATTCGCATAATTGTGCTTTTCCCTCAGTAACAGCCTGCTACTATGTTTGCAACTCAGGTTCAAACATAGTAGATTTTATGCTCTACATTTAAATACGTACCTTCTTAAGATGCTTCTTGTTTTATTTAATTTAACTCTAATTAGTACCCCTGTCGAGCATGCTCCAGTGTCTACCAGTTCTGCCTCTGCTCCTGCACCACACGCTTCAGCACATCAGCCTGCTACTGCTGCTCAGAGTACAGCCAGCCTGATGACACCACCAGCAACCACCTCAGTAGTGCAAGAGTCTTTCTCCTCCTCCTTCCAAAGGTAACGCTTCCTTGCTTCCTCCTTTCCCAAACTCACCCCTGCGTGGCTCTGGAAACGCTGCATACACATTCTGAACTTGAGAATGTAGTATGGAAAAGCTGTAACCTATTTGATATGCTTTTATGTATTTTGTGTTTTCTTATTTTTAAGTACGTTGTTCATGTTGGCAAAGAATTTGCAAAATAAAACTGCCCCCCAAAGTGTATCTTTAAGTCTACAATACAGCTCATGTTTTCAGAGAGCAAATCTAGGGCTGAAACTAGAAATGGTTTTTCACCACTTGTAGTAAAACCAAAACAACTCCTCGCTATAGTTACAGTGCTTGAATGAAGGTTATTTTTATAGTGTTTCTGCAGCATGACGTGAAACGGAGAGTTAGAAAATGTCATTTACTCATGTGATTGAGCTACCAGATCATAGCAGGTGTCAGTAAAACGTGGTGGACAATGAGCAATATTTCAGTAAACCCACACGTTCGATGACTGACCTGCTCTGTAAGGCATTAGGTCAATTCATTCCTATCAGATTTATCTACTTTCTTTTCTGCAGTGAGTTTTAGCTGTAGGGCTGCCGTGAGTTTCAAGGAGGGATGCATTCACCGCACTTGCACTACAGTAGGAGTGACAGTTGTACGTTAAAAGCTCTCAGTCAGCTGGGAAGAAAAGGCGTGGGATTTATTCTGCTGTCACGTTATAGTAATTTTGGAGATGGTAAGAGTGAATTCCATTGGTGCATATTACTCTTTCATCTTTGTTTTTTTGCTACATGAATATTCCTAAAAGATGTATATTTTAACATGTTTTAAAATTTCAAGGAAAACCACACTTCCAGTAACATAAACTACTTTAAATAATTGAGACCTAAGATATAGTCTGTCATATCTTAGTTTTGTGTAAATGGAATTGGAAATGTTCTTAGCTCTACTATTTCTTTAATTTCTGCTCCCTGACTTACATTATTTATGTATACCAACTGTTTAGTTTCTCACTTTAGTCAGTTTTTACCTAACCGTGACCTACCGGGCTCCGGTGCTTTTATTTCAGTGCAAGAAAATCAATCATCCAGCCAGCAAAGAAGTTTGAATAAGGTATTATTCTGTAATTCAGAACTGTGCTGTAAGGCACTTTCACATGAAATAATGATACAGTCTGAATAATTTTTGTCCCTCAGTTGAAATCATGACATGAAGAAAATGGATTATCTAATATATGCTTCAAAAATAAATGCCTCTACTAAACTAATCATGCCAATGACTTGTGTGTGTGTGGAAGAATCTTTTGTCTGATACTGCTTGCATATTAAAAATGTAGCTTCAATTCAGACTCAAACATCTTCAGATCTTGCAGATAAAACCATGTATCATTGGCAAAAGTCCTGTCCTGAAATATTGTCTTTCTTAGTTATCAATAGACTGGTTTTTATATAAGATATTTATATAATGTGTGCGTTTTGCCTTGTGTTCTGTAGGAATGTGCTTGACTGTGCTATTCTGTAAGTCTGCAGATATGCTACAGAAAACCTGTTTCTGGTAACTATGCAGCAGCCCTCCTGTATCTGAACTCCGACAAAGCTTGGTTCTGATCACTACTGTTGTCCCTGTTATATTATTTTGTACATGCTTTCATGCTTTTACTGTGTCTTCTGCAGAGTGCTTGCAGCCCCCAGCTCTCTTTCACAGCCTAAGCCTTTCCATGGGCCCAAGAACATGTCATTAGCAGCTTCCACTATTTCATCTGCTCTCTCATCTCAGTCTAGGTACATCTGTAAAGCTCTCTTCTTTTTCTTTTAACTGTATGTGGTTTTATTCTGTGTTACTGTCTGAAATTTAAGGTTTTTAGCTTCTTAAGCAATTGACTTAGAAACTATTGAGAAGTATGATGTGTTCAAAGGAACAGCCTTCGTGCTTGTCTTTCACTTCTAGGAAGCACTTTAGTTAGGATATGGGACCAAAAAGATCCTTTTGGAACAAAGGTATTCAGTTGTTTGGTTTGTGCTGGTTTTGCCATCCTAAAATGAAAATATTTATCTAGTGACCCTGGGTGAGAATGACAGACTTTTTCCAAACCCCCCCCCCCCTCATTGGTGAAAATACAGGATCACAGGAATCAGAGACTTTCTTTTATTATGCTCTTAACCATGACTAATGAAAGACCACTGATAGGGAAAGGTAGCATCTGTCACTCAAAAGGGAGAGTGCTGCTGTACTGCCTCACTGCTAACACTTCGCCAAGACTAACAGAGGAGAAAGCAGCAGATCTTGAGTCATTATTTGAACACAGTCTGCAGAAATAATGAACTGGATCAGCAATACGCTTGAGATTATAATTATCGATGTCTCTCTTCTCGTGATACAAAAAGGTGGTTAGGAATCACCCAAAGGTGATGTTTGAAATGAACAAAGCACACAAGTTAATGATCTTTCTCAAGAGTATCACAGAAAACAGCAGTTAAGTGCTGTGCATAGATACCTACTTGAAAGCGTTTTGGTTGGCTTCACAGAAATGAAACGGCCACAGAACAGATCAGAAGAGTTCTGAGGTTTAGGATGTAAACATGGATGTTTGCAGCCATGGGAATTGTATGGAGTGGATCAAACATAAGTAATAAAATTATCAGTAACTGCTGATGTAATTCTAATTCAATTTATTTGAGTGAAAATACACTTAATCATAAATTTAGCTCAAGGAAAGTATGAAGTTGGTGAATATCATCGGCATGTTACCAAGAGTAGAAGGTAAGAACAGATGCAAGGCTGTTTACTGCCACTGACATCTAGTTTTGTGTATGAATTTCAAAATTCCAAAGTGATGAGTTATTTCAGCAATTCATTATTGTGGGTATCCGTCATAAATTACCGTAAGAGGACCGGATAATGAAAGACTCATTTCATGAACAATTTTGGAGGAATGCAGGAAGATAAAATTACAGATGCATTGCATATATAATTAAGACTCCTTTGGTAAAATCTTAATCAGATTTATTTTATTGCCCCTCCAAGATAAGAAAGGCATTTTTAAACTTGAGTAAAAATCCTCATTGACAATTTCTGAGTATCTTTAATAGGAGGGTGTAAGGGGAGGGCTAAAGGACACATCAGACTTCAAAAATGTCAAAACTACAGTTTCCAGTTTTTAAAAATGGCTTTATTTCAGGATTAAAATTTCCTTTGGATTTTGTTTTTATTATTCTGTGAAGCTGTCTGACTAGGTGAAGTCAGACATATTTTTGAACACTGAGAATGCTGCTAGTCAGGGGGGCCATACTAAAATTGTACGACTGAGTTATAAGATTACTCAGAGTAATCGACAAAGTTCAGAAACCCTTATGAATCTGTGAATCATAACGTCATGAGCTTTTAGATCAGAGCTATACAAGTGGTAGATCTCTAGAAACCTTTCAGAGACAGTTCATCGTAACAGAAAATCCTTAAAATGCATCTGCCGAACAGGCAGAAGGCAGGTTTCCACAAAACGGTTAATGCATGCACGCTCCTTTTAACTGAAGGCTCTTCATTTAAGAAGCTCAGAATTCATTTGTATTAATCACAGAACTATGGAGAGACCTTCCACATCCCAGAATAGGCACTCTTCACATTGAAGTATGATAGCTATGATGGCCAGAACAGTTCCTTGGAACAGATTGACAGCTGCTGGCATAGCTTTTGGTGCAAGAATTAGACGCAGTTGTTTTTTTGTTATATTTTGGGATAAATCTCCTCCTCCATAAGAGCTGCATCTTCATTGCTGTCTTGGAAATGGCAGTTAAGCAACAATGATGTATGATTGACACATAAACAGCTAATAAATTAGCATAAAGATAGCCATTATTTGCTGACACTACTTGCATGGCTATTTTGGAGCTAATATAATATTTCTTGATCGAGCTTTTATCCTTTTCACTTTAGTTTCACATTCCTTTAACAGGGAGAAGGGAAGCAGCGTGAGGCCTTGAAACTATAAACTCATTTGTAGTTATGTAGCAGTATGGACTAACCGGTATGAATCATAATTTTAATGGGTAATGAGGATAAAAAGATCACCTTGAGTTATTAAAATTTACTTCCAATTCAAACGTCTTTTATCTCCTGCGTTAGATTGGCAGGGACGATCTTAGCCTTTCCTGCCCCTTTGAGAGGAAGCACTTGTCTGTGCCTCTCCATTCCCCAGGGGGTTTGTGACACCACGGCGTAACACCCTGCACAACCTGCTCCGACCCCAGACCTGCCCTTGCTTTGAGCAGGAGGTCAGATGAGAGACCTTCTGAGGTGTCTTCCGACCTGAGAGATTCTGTGAGTCTGTGAAAAACAACCGTCCCTTTCGGAAAGCAAGGCTTTAATCAGACTACTGAAACCCAGGGCTCGTACCTGGCAGGTATTTCAGTCAGAGATCTATCAGAGATACAAGATCACAGGTCTCATGCTGACATGCGCTTCAAGCCGTTCTCAGCAGGCAGATGTTATTGTCTTAGCTAATACCTCTCTTGGACGTTCAGTAACTCAGCAAGCCTTGGGACATAAAGGCAAATCAGAAACTTGTAGGACCTGTGAAAAATTGCTTCCCTGATAATCAGATACAAGAAGCAGGCTCAGGTTGGTTGGTTGGTTTTGGAGGGCTGTGTTCAGCTGAAATAGGTTCTTTATCTTTGTGCACTACTTCCATGGGGTTTTTTTTAAAACTCTCATGTATTATAGCTAGTGTATTCAAACACGAAGGACTGAAACTGGCTTCTAAATTAATTTATAATTCAAATTTTTGAGCAGCTGATAGTTTTCATTTAGAAATCTAGCACGCCAAAATACAGACTTAAAAATCCTGTTTCAGCTTGACATATATCATTGGAGCATCGCAGCATTTACTGTCATTTTAGTTCAAAGCAAAATATGGATGACCTCAGTTACAACAGTATCCCCATCCTGTAAAACATGCTCAGGTAGAATGAGGCTGAGATTTTACCACTGTTGTTCCTGTGTTTGGGTTTTTTTTTTTCCTTCTAGATACCTTAAAAAGGTCCACCAAGGAAATGCTGGCAGATTTCTTGATCAGTGTCCTTAACTATTTAAATCTGATTTTAAACTTGGTAGATCCGGTTCTACAGTGATTTTTCTTTTGTGAGCAAGGTCGTAGGCATAACACCTAACATGAGTAAAATCTTTATATAATGTTCCTAAAGAGGAGTGTTTGAAGTACATCATTAATCCTTAACTGATTGTCTTACTCTTTACTTTTAAACCTGCAATGTTATCTTACTTTTTCACTTATGATCTTACTTACAAAGAAGAAAGCCTAGCAGGAGTGTTTTAAATAAGCTACTAATCTTTTTGTGCAATTGGTTATTCCACCTGGAGGGTAAAAGCAGGGCAAGAAGTGAGACAGCACTCTGGGAACACAGGAACTAGAGAAACGCTGGAGAGTTCGTTACCATCGCGGTTCTAAAAGGAAGGTGTAGCTTCTGTGATCCGAGGGTATTAATCTAAGCACTGTGTCTGTGGTAAAGGGAAGAAAAACTCTGCTTCAGAAGCTAGGAAAATAACTGGCATGTGATATGTTCCTGGTGATTGTGGCAAATGTGGGCTGTGGGTGATGCCCTGTAGCCCTGCACGGCTCTGCACGTAGGCAGGAGCTGTGTTCATTCTGAATCTTCTCGTTTCTTAGATCACATATTGTGCAGGCTTTTAAGTACTTGCTGTATTTACATAAATGAATCATTTATGTAAATACAAAAAGTATTGTACTTTCTGTATTTACTGTTTCCCCAAGAAAAAAAAAAAGGTACCTGTTTACCCAAGCCTCTGGTACTGCAAGGAAGAAGTTGAACATGATGGCTTCATGTTGTTGCTTCAACTACTTCCAGCCAGCCCTCTCTGTGGCTGGTCCTAGTTACCTCATAAACTAGCAAACCTAAGCTGATCTTTGGACTTGGGGTCACTCAAGATTTGTTTTTAAGATGTGATAAACCTTAAGCTTGTGACACTGACACAAAACCCCTCAAACGTATTTTTCTGTGCTAATACAAATAAATGGTGAATGTCAAACAGTCCCGTGGTTGAATTAGAATTCCACAACTAAACAGTGAGCAAAACTGGTTGAGAGTGACTTTTGGAGCAGTAGACTCAGCTCATTTATTTAGGCTACCGTTATTCAGGTGCCATTATGATTCCTGGCTTAAATAAGCAAAATGTAATGTAATACTGATCTTCTATGATTGAAAATGCGAGTATGTTGTTTACGTTAGCACTTAAAAGCACCTCTTATTCTTAATGAAATTCACTGTAGGACAAGATATCCCACTTTTCTTGGCATATTTTTTTCAAATACAACTTTTGTCTCATTTTAGTTTCAACCGGCATTCTTCCACCTCCATCAGCTACCAGGCAAAGAAGAGGTATAAAAACGTTTTGTGCAGCTACTCTACCTTAAAAGCACTTAACAAAAGTTTCTTGCTGCTAATAGGCATCTAGTGAAGCGTTAACATAAAAGTGATCTGCTTAGAAATATTTACTCTGTCTTTTTCTGACAACTAATAGTTTTCAGAGCCAGTATTTAATTCGCTGCCTATCACGTGCCAGTGGCTGCTACAGATAAATTCAGTGAAGGTGCTTCCACTGCTTTTTGAGATGCTGTTGCTTCCTGTTCTGTTAAAGCACCTTTGATCCTTAGAATATATTTTTTTTATTTATTTCTTTCTTTCTCACTTTTTCTTTCTCTTTTTTCCCTTTTTCTTTCTTTTAATCTCATGCTATTTCTTCAGCAGAAATTCTGATAAATCTTTTTAACTTCACTAAAACCCCTACTGATGTAGTGTAACACTTAATTTCTCTTTGACAAGCCTTTTTATCTTCCTTACTCTATTTAATATACATCATACACTTGTAAAAGGGTTCAGTAGTTGACTTCTTTTAATTATGCAATGATCTTGGTACTCTGCATACATTTTGCGTGTGTCGTTTTTTTATTTTTTCACTTCCCTGAACATACAAGGAAATCTAGTGCCCTGGTTTTACCATGCTATTAACTTTGGGAAACACTTGAATTTTGAATAAACGTTTTTCTTCGTGACAGCCTAAGTATTGCTGTCCGGCTCAAAACTTCTTTATGTATTTGGTGCATTAAGAGAGCTTCAGATGAGTCTTTCTACCAATGGACCTGCACATCTGGGAGCAGACTTTCCTGAGTGTGTGCCATTTTCAGATTGAGATTGTATGACACATGATTTAAAATCTTTTAATCCACATTTTAAATGTTGATCGTTGATCTTGTAAAGGTAAGTCTGTTTTACCGGTTTTCTTGAATAGTAGATTTGAAAGCAAGGAAAAATCTTTTGATAGTGTGTGTCTAGCTGAAGGCATTTTGAAAGCCGTCTGTGAAGCCAGTGTACATGAAAAAACAAAACCCGCAGCCGTGCTGTTTGTGCTACGGTAGGAGCAGTGACCGCCAGCGCAGTGGGTTCTGACGCGCTACCGATGAGGAGGTATCAGCAGGAAATAGAGGGTAAGAATGGAAAGTAAGAAGTCTTACCGTGCTTAGAACAGCTTGGGCAGTTACAAAAGCACAGCCCAGTTCACACCAGAATTTACAGTGACTTGTATTCACTGTAATCCCACTAAAATAGTTTTATCTTGGAGAGCCCTGTTCACTCGTGGTATAGTGAACCCAAATCCAGCCCCAGGCCTAGAGCAGGTACAGAAATAATTAGCTGTGGTCATTGTAGCAACGGCTACGTCCCTAGGTCTGATGAATAGACAAAATAAGTTAGCCTGAGGCAGACTGGATCTATAGTACAAGCGCTGTCAGAGTAGCAAAAAGCTGTGTTGCGAGGATAGGTTTATTTTGTTCAAAATTAAAAATCAGAAGTCGGAATGTTTTTATCTGTAGTGGAAGGAATTTGCTGGGCTTGCGATATGTAAAAATGACAACGTTTTCTCTCCAGATGACATCTATTTCTGCTGTTAAAGTCAGGATGGACCAATGGTCTGACAAAGCTGGATGCTTCTTTTCTTATGCTGGCAAATGTTTTCCTATAGGCAAAGCCACTATTGAAATAACTCCCCAGCTGTCAGCACGTATAGATAGGGGTCTGGTTGGTGCAGATAGTCACACTGAAGGGATAAAGAACGTAACAGGCAAACAGCAGAGGCACATATATCGGTGTGTTACTGTAATCAAACTGAGAATCGCCATCTGAACCGTAAAATAGAAACTATTTCTTATTGATGGTTTGGAATCCTGAGCAAATGTTTTTAATCTAGGAATGCAGAAAGTGCATCACAGTATTGCGTGTCACGTGCTTTTGGGTTAGCTGAATCTGACATTAGAAAAATTAACATAAATTGTCCTTTCAGTCTAAATAGGGAGAAGAGTTAATTTCAGAAATTTTTTTTTAAAGGTCACTACAATCTTTTTGAAAAAGTACAGTGCTTATAAACAGTAGTTAGTATTTGTACTAGTAGTGATTGTGCTGAGCCAGTATCTTTATAAGTCATTGAGATATCCCTCGTTGATTTATCTTAGACAAGCACAGGCCTGCTTGTCTGTAGAGGAACAGAAACCCCAAACTTTGTATGGATGTTTCTGAAGTCTGATCCCTAGTTAAACTGTGAGTTCCTTTAATAAATTTGTCAAATTCTTTCAGTAAGCTGTTTTCTGTGACAACAAGAGCAACTTGGCATTATTTAAAATCCTTATTTGGCTAATTTTCCTTTCCAAAGAATCGTCCAAGCCTCCCTTAGCAATGATAAAGACTAATGAACCTCTCTGTATTCTCTCTGTAGCTCTCGAGGACGGTTCCTCTCAGAGTGCGTTGGAAGCTGCCAGATGTGTTATTTCATAATCAATAACTTTTGCTGTTTATAAAGTTGCTCATACCTTCATTTTGCTTTTAGAAACACAAGCCAGTCGTATACCCCGACGCCAGCGTCCGGGAGCTATGGTGAAAGTCCTGCTGCTTCTGCTACTTCAAAACTGAGAGTTGTTACCACTGCCAGCATAAAGCCCTCTGTCTACCAGCCAGGTAAGGTGACTTCAGAGTACCGAAAAGATTCGAAAAAGAAATGCGCGTGCATTTCTTGTACAAAAAGAAAATGCAAAGAATGCCCAGTTTGCAATAGGATACATGCATATCAGGAGGGATTTACATACATGGAACTAAATGCTGCTAGTTTTGCTTTGGATTATCTGAAGATTGAGGATCACGTTGTATTTGTATTCTGCTTTGCATGGAACAAATGGAGGAAGAAGAATACAGACAAGGGGAAGGTCTGTAATAAAACGGCATAGCCTGATTTTTTCAGAAGAAATACATTCAGAAAATAACCTAGTGCACCAAGTTAGGAGCCCAGTGACACTTCAGAATTGATAAAACAGCTCAAGAATGCACAATTTAGGATGGAGATAAAATAAGTGAAGGTAGCTTGAGTAGGATATATTTGCAAAATAGGTAAGGAACTCCTCAAACTCAGACTTATATTTCAAATAAAGAATGAGCTGTTAAAGCACTTCATAATTCTATGCTTCCACTTCCCACAGATGCAGGTACTGGAGGAATATATTTGATTATTCATTCATGAGTCAAATATTCTCCCTGATGGCATTTAAATTCCCTTCGTATTAACGTGTTACAAATGGAGCGAACTTCTAAAACCATCAATGACCAAAATATGACCCTTCAAAATGAACAAATTAAATGAGGCAGCAGTGTAACTCTAAATGCAGTTCTGTTTCAGATTATCTTGTTCTGATCTTAGCAAGAGAATTACAAAGTTGATTTATATCTTGACAGCCAACTAAATATGGAGAGTCCAAGAATTCTAACAGTCTTAAACTCTGTCTTCTGTAATGCTTTATCTGTGGATCTACTGAAATGAAACCAGTGCAGAAATTTTACTGAGACATAAAGTAGACGGACAGATAAATTGATTGATCTTTATATTTTAGATGTAAAAGTGGAAAAAGCCAGTTCAGAGCTATCGTGAGCTATTTAAGGGTCTCAAAGTAAATAAAGGTTTCAGCTTCTCGTTTGCTTTTGGTTAAAGTGTGTCAGCACGTACCACGTTCTCACTGAAGACAAATGTTGTTATTTTTGTCTTGCAAAAGAAGGAAAGATGAAGACAGAGTATTTATTTCTATAATTCAGAACAGAGCAAACTGTGGCAAGTCAAAATATCTCCTAAATACACTGATTTATACTAAGCCCCACACTCATTTGGAGGAAGTATAAACTCAAGCTCTCAAAATACAAACCTGCCACAGAAATAAATCTGTAGCTGTACAGTCAGTAGCTGTATCTGTTAAAGAAAAAGCTGGCTGTTGAATTAAACTCAGAATCGGAGGCAATGCTGTGCTTTCCTCCTGTGATGGGCAGCTTCTTTGCAATTTAGGGTTTTGAGGCACATTGCCTCCCAATAAGGGCTTAAAATACACAGTATGGAAACTGTGTTCTGGGTTACTATGTACACAACAAACTTACTTCAGCTGTATATATTGACTGCCTGCATGTGGAAAATTCTGATTGTGCAGGCACTGCAAAGATATACTCTAGAGGACAGGAGAAAATTAAGAATAATATCTAATGTGATACATTACAGAGACAAAATTCAAATAGCATTAAAGTTGGCAGAGAAAGAAACAGTAAGTCTCCCTGTATTGTTTAGGAGTTTGAAATATCCAGTAAAGGATTCTAGAACACTTTGGTAATTGAACCCCAAAGTGACTCGGGTACAAAAATTATTACAGAGATTTTATTGAAGATGCTTGGGGTTTGTTTTGGTACCTTTTAAAAGTTTTATATATTTGATGTAGTAGCACTTCATACCACTGTTAGAATGTGAGCTGACCCTAGAGACAGTTGCAGTTGTAATCCTGAGCAAACAGAAAATTGTCACTTGGGAAGAAATGGAGGAAAGAGCATTTCCTGTTACAGATGGGAAAGATCAATAGTACTTTGAAACAAACCATCAAGACAGTTAGAAAACTTCGTCACTCAACTCTGTCAGTGAATATAAACTCTGTCCTGCGGTGCAAAATGCAACCTCAGTCTGAGAGGAGCAGCTGCTCTCAAATTATGACAGAGGAGATCACTAAACACAGCCTTTTATTCCAATCCGAGTGCAACCTCAGGCTTTTGCAATAGCTGCACTCTCACTTCGGCAAATAACATCTTAGACTTATTTATTGTAAATCCACAGTGTGAAAAGGCCAAAATAGTGGAGGTTACTATAAGAATTTGCAGTGTAGAATGTAGAAGGGGAACGTCTTTATGCTAGTCATCAGTGTTAATGGGAATGAAATTACTTGCTTCCCTTAAAAATGTGGGCCAGCAACTTCCAGATTAAAACACCCACCAACAGCCTCACGTATGCGATGTCCAGGAACCTGAATCAATCACTAAAAGGGTTTAGAAGACATTTTAATCTGTCTCAGAGTGAAAAAAATAATGGGGATCAATCTTGTTTACACTGAAACCAGTCTCAAAATGAAGCTGCACTGTTGAATATCTGGCTGAGATGGGGGTAGTCGCTAAGTCTACACTTTAAAGAAGAAAGGGAACCGCTCTGACTGACCTAACTCTGGTGGGAAATTTCCGCTGCTAAAAATCTTTGTTTTCTTTCTATAGAGAAAGCTGTGAACTCCATAAATTTCATAACCCATTTTTAGAGCATAGACTTCTTTTCTGAACAAGGTCCACTAGATGGCAGAAAATACTTGTGTATTCCTTTCTTGTAGGCTTTCCCAGACTAAACTAGTGCTTTCATCTGTAACAAGCAACTCAGACGCCAGTTTTATACTAGAGAGTAACATGACCCCTGGAAGTAACAAAGCAAATCTTTTAAATCCCTAAGTCCAAATAGGACTACTCATGTATGTAAGAGTGCTCAAGTGTAAAGACCTGATCCACTCTCTTAGAAATTGGTAGAAAGATTCCCACAGATCTCAATGAACGTTTTGCGGAGCCCTAAGCACCTTCAATACTAAACCAGCAGGTTATGTACCATCTTTCATTTTAAATTTTTCTGAGTAAGGATAGTGTCGTCTTATAAAGGACTTGTTACGTTATCTGCTTTGTCTGTCATCTAGTCTATACTGGAACAGTATGCGGGAAAATTCTGGGCTTCAGGATGCGGCCACTAAATGTAGAACAAGCCAATTCAGTTGTGATAATGAGTTACATTTGTTACCAGAAGATTATTATTAAGAATAACAATTATGTGTTCTAACAAAGGAAAAAAAAGGGAAATAGTTTTCACAGTGCAAGCTGGTACGTAAGGCCAAAGCGTTTAAGACTATCTGAATCTTTACTAAATGGATCTTTGGTAACACACCTTTTCTTCTGGAGGGAAAATACCCATGGACCATAAATGAAGAGCTGATGGAGGGAATTCCAAATTTCCCAGAAGCAAGGATGGCTGTTGAGAGAGCCCTTCTGCCATTCTCTCAGGATAACAGTAGCCCCACTCTTTCCTACTCTGAGAGTCTGAGGGCTGAGAGAAACAAGGTGATAGAGGCTGGGTTACTCAGTTATTTTAAGTAATCCTTTTTGGTTAAGAGTCAGCTCATACTCTACTTATTTTTTGCGAATCTATTCTCTGCTGTACTGAGTGCTTTTTACCAGCAGACAGCACCTTTTATCTGCTGCATGTGTGTCGGAAGACTTTGAAACACGTAATATGCCAGGTGAATTTGTATGGCAGTAGCTACTGAGAGAGTGGCTCAAATAAGCTTAGGGATATAGCTATGTGATACTAAGATCAGTTCCTCTTAATAGCAATAGCTAAAACCTCAAAGTTAGTGAAACCTTTCTGATAAATTGCAATGACGCTATTTTAAATCAACAGTAATGCCAGCCTGTTCACAGGGGGGAAATATGTGGTAATAAATCCACCCTGACAGTGGCTGAAAAGAGAACTCGGAGCAGTTGCGAACACACAATATTTGTCATTTTGCAATAATTCCCCTGGTATCTTCTTTCAGCAACTGAAAATAAGTATTTTGTTGCTTTATTTTACCATGGCAAGTAGAAAAGATAGCTGGAGGAAAAAGAAATAGAAGGTAAAGAGAATGAAAGATAAAGACCCTTCCCCAGATAAATCATATGCTGTCTACATTGGTTGGGATAAAAAAAATGGAAAAATAAAACATCTATATTGTGAGATTAAGGAAGAAAAGTGAAAAACTAAGAGGTTGTAAGCTGAATTTACCGAAGACAATCACAGGAAAAGACATCCTAAAAATGGTACCTGGACTGCATCTGTTCTTCAGTTCTGGAACTGTGGGTTTGAGTGTCTGACCCCTCTGCCAGGCTCTCTGGGGATGCGCTGCTGCACTTCGCATGGACAGGAATCGCTCTTGGGGGAGGGAGAATCCTTTCTCAAAACTGAGTGAGCTAGAAGTCACCTTATTGAATTAGAGAGCCTCACAGGTGGGAGCCTTTTGAACTCGCCAATTAGAGATTAAATATTGCCTTCTCATTCTGCCTAGCTTAATACTGCAATACATAAATAGCAACAGCCTCGGGATTTAGAGAGATTGCATAGAAACTCTGTTCTGAAATCCTTAAACACTGTTTACCATTCCCAAGTTTAAAATAAAAAAAACCAAGCCTCAAGCTAAGGTGGGATAGAGTTTTATGAAGCAGCAACATCGTTGATGCTGTAGCATAAGAAAGTTTTATCAGGAGGATGCATGAGATTCAACTCTGAACTCAATAAAAGAAGCAGCTCGGGGATCGTTAGGGCGGTCACAGCGGATTGATATCTATGCAGTTTAAGCACCTGCCAATAATCAGTGTAGGTTATCCTGTGTCTGGGTATGGGCTAAGGGAGGAGTGTGAAGTAGAACATAATCGTCTCACCACTTAATCCTCCAGAAAGATCCATGTTACATTCAGATCCCTCTTCTTGGCTGAAATACAGTTCTGCCTGCAGGCCCCTTAAAACTGTTGGGTTTGGTCATCATTTTACTGGCACTGGGATCTACCGTGCAGGATGTTTGCCTAGACTGCAGAACTGACTTCTGTTCCTAAATCTGTGCTCTCTCGTTGGGGCAAAACACTTCAGCTCTCCGAGCTTCTGTTCCTCCTCACACAAACCAACAGTCGTTCACTTTGTTTTCCTTGCAAAGGAAAAACTGCTTTTAGTGCTCCTGGACTTGGCAAAGTGAGGCTGTTTCTTGTGCAGTGGCTTCAGTCCTACACAGCGCAAGATCTGACGTTTTTGTTTTGAAAGGAGCAGGGCAATGGGAAAACTTGTTGGTATGTGCAGACTCTAGCTTGTGCTTATTTTTATGTGATAAAGCTCCACCCAAGATCAGAGCCTTGCGCATGCAAACACAGATGCAGCTTGCACTGAAGATTTTACGTGATAGCCAAAGGGTGGAAGAAAGGAAGTGTATTATTTCTATTTTATACATGGGAACTGAGGCACAGAGACACTCTATACAGGAAGTCTGTGGCAGAGCCAAGAACCGAACTGAGATCAGTCATAACCGCAAGTCTGGCCTTCCCCTAAGTGCTGTTGGCTTTGTCTTGCTGGTCATGTGAGATAAATTGGCTCCCTCAATATTGCTTCCAGTGCTCCATCTCTGTGCTCCCTGTGTGAGCCTGTCTTTCTTCAGCAACCTAGGAGTAAAACCTGCGAATGCTAGGTAACAGTGACATCTGTGGAAAATGCTACATTTTAATGAACATAATGAGATCAAAATTTAAGCATAACTTCTTACTGAAATTATGGGGAATTCCATCTAAAGCTGTATTATGTGATCTGCCCTTTCTATTTCTCACCTGTCTTAAACAGATCATATGGCAGTCTTTGAAATTATCACAGAATTGTCATATCCATTCCCCCTTAGAAAATGAAGAGATGCCCTTGAAAATGGTCTCCATAAAATATGTAAAAGCCAGTAGGCAATGACTTCTGTAAAGCATGTGGGCTAGAAGTCAGTGACTGTGCTGATATCCTTGGCTTCAGTCCGGAATTAATGACCATAATTAAGTGTCATCTGCAGCTTTTATTTTTTGTGTGTCATGGAGTGCCCTTTGGTAAGTGTTGCTGTTTTGCCATCAGCAGAAATGACTTTAAAATACTTTCTGGTTTCTTTTGGGATACTTAAAACAGCACCAGCACCAGTTCATTCCTACACCTCTGCCAACACTGAGCCTGCAAGTCGTCCTCCCTGGGTAACAGATGACTCCTTTTCCCAGAAATTTGCACCTGGAAAAACCACCACCACTGTCACAAAGCACATCCTGCCAAGGGGTGCTCCAGTACCATCTCCTGCCTCAACTTCTGCTTACCCATCTCCAGTTTCAGCTTCTTCCCAGGCTCCTGCAATAGCCCGGGGAACAGTTCAGAGGGCTGAGCGTTTCCCAGCCAGCAGCCGAACTCCTCTCTGTGGGCACTGCAACAGCATAATTCGGTAAGGTCGTGAGGTTTGGAGGAGGGATGAAGCAGAAGAAAAAAAATAGCAGAAAAAAATATCAGAGAGACTGGTTATTGTACGTTAATATACAGTACCAGAGCCTAAGACTTGGTCAAATTACCCAGCAGGGATGTCTGTTGTCTGCTTCATTAGTTTAACATTTCCAGAGCTAATTTTGCTATTGTGTGGTTCGCTTTTTATCACTGCGAAGTTATACGTGCTAATTGTTTGTTTCTTGGGTGCCATGGAAAATCACTGCTTGGTTTTTTTTTACTGTTTGTTTTTTTTTTTTTTTTAAACAAGTTTCTGATCCTCAGGTACCCCTCGAAGGAGGTACATACAACTGCACTGGGAGAGTTGGGGGTGGGGGGAGGATTATGGGGAGAAAAGGAACGAGACATCATTTTGGAACAGCAGCCAAATGTAATTGTTGCTTTTGTGTCTGGAGAAAGATAATGCCTACGCTCTATTACCAGTGATTCATAGCATGCCTCTCCCTTCTCCTCTCCCAATTCATTCTGCTGAACCTGTGCCCACGGTTACCCTGTGGACTGCTAACCAACTTTAAGTAACCCATGATAATGAGCCTCCCCCACTAAAAGGAGCTAGTTTGGTGATGGGGAACTGGTGATTATTACCCTTCATATATTCTGAAATGGAAAGACTCCAGTAATAATCATTATATCCAATCACAATCAAGAGTAAATCACCAAAACTAATGGGTCTTCTATATAAGCAAACAGCTAGTTGTCACCCGATGGTCCGACATTTCTAGAACATGCTGCATGCAGTGCTCTCGGATGCAAAGAAGGCAAGAGACTTCAGGAGCTACTTTAGGGTGTGGGTGTGTAGGCTTGGAAATTTGCCTACTTTTGCATGCTTTCAAATAGTAGCATTATCTTCTGTGTTACGACCCTTGGCCCTTTCCTTTTGTCTTCGCAGCTGTTTACAAAGACCCCCGTAGCTGTGCGGGTATGAAGACAGTTGATTTTTCCAAGCTGTCTGTAAATTTAGTGTCTGTGACTCAATAATAATGAAACATTTTAACCAACTGGCAAAGCGTTTGAGTAATGACCTTGCCATTGAGTAAAGTTGAGTAAAGACCACTTGTGTTCAGGCCTCTCATTTCAATATACACCTTCAGGGTTCAAGGAGAATGTTATACGTGTGCACGGTGCTGACAAAGTGTGTCTGTAATCAGGGTCATTCAATCTTTTTGCAATACAAATAAGATCATTACAATTGTTTACAGGGGTCCTTTCCTGGTAGCCATGGGTCGCTCCTGGCACCCAGAAGAATTCAATTGTGCTTACTGCAAGACATCCTTGGCTGATATGTGCTTTGTGGAAGAGCAGAATAGTGTGTACTGTGAGCGCTGCTATGAACAGTTCTTCGCCCCGACCTGTGCCCGATGCCACACTAAGATCATGGGGGTAAGAGAACAAGCTTAACCCTTTCTCCAACTGCGTGGTTCATTGAAATCGTGAAATAGTTTAGACTGTAAGCAATGAATGTAGATATTTAATTATTCCCCCTTTTTAATAGTAATTTCCCAGTCTGTTGCTTATTTCAGAATGAGAAACGTATTTTTTATAATCGTAGAATCCTAGAATGCCAGGTTGCAAGGGACCTCAAGGATCATCTGGTCCAACCTTTCTTGGCAAAATAATTTTTATCTATCTGAAATCTTGGATATTTCTGTACCTTAGTCAACTCACAGAATCCAACTACCATCTCACTGAGCGTAAAATAAGTAACACTTCTGGATAGTTCTTTGCTATCCAATACACTGTGTTACTTTTATCTATCTTTTCCTTATAATTATAGAAAGTGACTTGAATGGTTGGGGTTTTGTTCTAATACAGGACTTAGTCTAAATTTAAACGGAGAAGTCCATGATCATGGGAAGAGGCCCACTGCTCTTGCTGTACCTCACTGGTAGCTAGCAACGCAGCTGCCAAGAGGAATTCTGCTGACTTCTTATAGTTAAGAAAATACAGAATAAACACAAAGATCTCAATTCCAGCAAGGCAAAAATAGATGCCATGCTTGTCTTGGTGTACTCGTGCTTAGGTACAAGTAAATCTGCTCTCCATATACCTTCGACAGTGATGAGATTGTAGTAATACCACAAAATAATCTTAACAGTGTATTTATACATGCAGTTACAGTGACTGTATGACATGATTCTCTCAAATGAGGAAGAAAGGAGTGCCACACTGGCTGCTATCACTTAGCTCTCACCTTTTGACATCTCTCTGAATGTTGGCAGCGGCAGATTAGAGGCTTTTCTCTGCAGCTGCCAATTAGGGATGGCAGCATCAGACATCTGTGGTGAAGCTCTGGATCCAACCAAGTCTTGTTTGCTACTGCAGCAGTAGGAGTAATTTTACAGCAGAGTACTGACTTAACTTACCTAATTAATGCTGGCACAAATCAGTTCCCCATTATGGATTTTCATCAGGAAAATGGCAAAGATGCCAGCTGCCTCTATTTATATTAATAAGATTTCTCAATCTGCTTTTTGCTTCTTAGCTCAGTGGGGTTCATAAATGGATCCAAACCTATTTATCAGTGATAGTTGTTTTGCAAACAGTAACAGAAGTTAATGAATCTCAAATGGTGATTCTCTAATGAAATATATGGCAAATGTAAATTAGGCTATTTTATCTATTCCCTGGATTGAAAGCATGGAAGAGGGCTTCAACCCCTTTTGTCATAGTCAATGGAGATTAAAAAGAATCCTTAAAAGAGAATCAGGGTCTGCATATATAATTGGAAGCAACATAAAATAGGATCTAGAGTCTCAGCTGGTGCAAATCAATGCTGGTTTACGTACAAAGTTAAATTAATTTACGCCAGTTACACAGCTGGCCCTCTGAAATCTGGAGATACACTGTTGAACATCGTCTTGGGCACAAGTAAAATTGACAAATTAGCAGGTAACCATGAATCAGAGCTCAGTACAACAGCTTTTGGGCTTGGAAATCTTCTGTGTGACAGGATAAGAATGAAGTAATAGAGATAGCTCCATAGTGGATAGGAGAAAGAAGCTGATAAATTCTGGATACTCAGTTCAGGAGGACATCAGTTGCACAGAATTTGTTTTTTTGTGATGAACACATGATGTAGGAACAGACACGCAGACTCATTTTCACTAATCACATAAGTTAAAATCTAAGAACTTTTTTTTAAGGTTTTCACATTAGTTTGTGAAGCGTTATTGTGAGAAGCTTAAAGAAATTAGTACATAATTACTGTCTGAAACATAAGACTTAAATCACTTATCCCCTGCATGCATCTCTTGGTCTTAGAAAGAAAATTACTCTTCAAAATTTTCTTAACAAATCATACTCTTGCATTGAAGAGTTCATACTAGTCGTGTCAAAACAAAGGAGAAAATAATCAGAGTCTTTGCGCGGAATCTTTCCTGCAACAGTGACTGGGCGTGTTGATACAAACAGCTGGCTGAACTATGTTGCTTCATTTTGGCGAATACATTGTTCTAGAAAGTTTGCAGTCCTATTTCCTCCTCCTTTCCAAAGGAGCCCAATTTCTGTCACACTTCTTTCTTTTGAGGAGGGGAATTGGCTGATAGAGAAGGGAAAAATTCAGAGCATCTCTGCCTTGTGTTTGTTCTCCAGTAGGTAGTTGCAGGGCTTGCTGTCCTGCTGGAGATTTTTCTTGCTTTGTTTGTTTTACAGGAAGTGATGCATGCCCTAAGAAAGACTTGGCACACAAGTTGCTTTGTCTGTGCTGCTTGTAAGATGCCGTTTGGGAATAGCCTCTTTCACATGGAGGATGGGGAACCTTACTGTGAGAAAGGTATGGCAAACCAGAGCTGTGCTCAGTAAGCATGTGCTTCATGCTGTGTGAAAGCAACAGAAGAATAAAGCACCTGAGGAACAAAGTAAAATCAGTCACCCATCACAGAATGGAATTTGTTTCCACTCTCCACATAAGCAAGTATACAACATACACAAGTTTCTGAGGTTTAAAGGAAGGACTGGCAGAGCACTGCTCTTTTGCCTGTGTCCCAGGATGACTTACCTCCTTTCTCTCCCTTACATATGATGACACTTACCTTCCATTTCTCTCTCTTTGCTTTTTTTCCCTTGTCCCCCTCCCTTCCCTGGTAGATTCTGCTCACTAGAAATCTATACATTGTGGGGTGAAAAGTTCTTTCAGAGTTCTGGTAGTGCTTCTATATGGTATGTGTGGGTTGCTGCCCACATTCTCTCTCTAAATTGCTTGAATGTTGACCTCCGATACTGCTACCTCACCCTGCAACACATGGTAGCTCAGGTTTTGTTTTCTGAGTGCTGCAACGAGTGAACTGCTCCTTGCTAACTAAGGCCACACTTTCCCAAACTCTGGAAAGGGTAAGACGGTTTAATAATGGTGCTTGCCATCCAAGTGAGATGCCTCACGTGGTGAGGAAGCAGGTTAAGGTTTAAGTGGTGTTCCCTCTGTGAGCCCTGTCCTTGTCCTGTCCTACTTCCCCCTGGAAATTCCTTCCTTACGGTTGCACAAATCAAATTTTACATAGCAGAGTAACTCTAGTCACACTCTATGGCTTTCATTCTTCACTGACTTGGCACCTGCCCTTTAAAGTTGGGGGCTTTGGCGTAACTTTGCCATAACCAATGGATTCTCACAAATTCCATATCCCTTTAGAATTTCTGCTCATCTTTTTCAGTGTCAGGTCTTTCTAAATGGCACTTGCTATTCAAACTAAAGATGTATTAACCAGACAGTATGGGGCTTCCGTAATATTCTCTCTTAATGCAGACAGAACATAAATCCAGTCATGGAAACTGCAACTATGCTTCTGTACCACCGTTAAGATAACCCTCACTGGCCACTAGATTGTGTTTTGCGTGACCGTATTTGTCCTTACAAATAGCTTCCACACACATTTAAACTAATTTAAAGCTAATGTGAGAAATTCATGACAGAACTTCAAATTTCATGAATTTTTTTTTGTTTGTTTGCTATGTTTGTGATGGCAACAGTTGTGCTGACGTGGGGTTTTGCACTGGGTTTGTATTTAAATAATGAAAGAAAAGAAGCAGATTTCACTGTGAGTGTTTCAGTGAATGTAGTAGGAAACTGAGCAAAAACAATTCAAAAATTCATCCTCTGGAAACTTTCTATTTTTCTTGGATTTAATACAGTTATGTTAAGAGTTTGTACTAAGTTTGCTTTTTGTTTTATTTTAGATTATATTGCTTTGTTCAGCACAAAATGCCATGGTTGTGACTTTCCTGTTGAAGCTGGAGATAAATTCATTGAAGCTCTTGGACACACTTGGCATGATACCTGCTTCATTTGTGCTGTAGGTTCTATACCAATACTATCTCATTTCTTTATACTCATAAATTATGAAGTAACATCAGAAGACCTGAAAGCAGGAATGACTAACATATGCCTAAGGATGCAGAGGGATTGAATTTGATTTTTTTACTTGCAGATGGAGAAGGATGGGAGTCATTTCTCTTCTCCTCCATAAACTTTTACTAGAATTAATAAATTTGATCATCACAAGCGAGTGCTTTCTAATAAAACATCCAGTTTTAGAGAGTACGTACAGTAATACATACCACTATTGCTATTATTCTTTCCAGTGTTTACCAAATAAAGATAAAGCAGGATTTAAAATAAATTAACACCACACTGAACAGTATAGCCATAATCTTACTTACAAAGCAGAGCAGTTTGTATTTCCATGCACAACGCTTGTTGAAACTTGCAAAAGGGAGTCTGTTTAGAGAGAATGAATAGCAATTAGCATAGAAGTTGGTCAAACTCATCAATCTGTGGTGTGCATACAACTATCTAGTGTGGCCATATTCCCACACTCTGCACACAAAGTAGTAAAATCCATACGATAAACAGAACTTTCCATATGGTTCCAATACAGCCGTGCTGCTCTACAACGTGTCATTCCTAAGGTAATAACATCTAGAACCTCTGATTAGCTAAAAATAGTATGTTGCCCACACCAAAAATGACAGTGACAATTTCTAATGTTTGTTGAACTCTAAAATTTAGGTTGCAGAGTAGAAAGCATAGAAATGTTTATAAATATCTAAAAATAAACTAACTACTGGTCTTTTTAGGGTACATGGAAGTGAGTGACACGAAAGTGTCCTGTGAGAATTGAAGCCTTTTTGAAATTCTAACGTAGAAATACTGAGACAGTGAGTTTCCTTCACAAACTAACAGCTATTAGTTACTTATAAAAGACAATATTTCATGTTATTTTTTGCTTGTTCGTTTAACTGCATTCTTACGTATTTATTTAAATTGCCAATTTTCTGTGGAGGTGAGTTTTGTTAATGCAGTTCTCACAGCATTTTCTGTTAGGAGCTAACTTTATTTCTTGCAGTGGGTTAAATCAAATGCAAATAAATACAACTCCTAATTTCCTATATGCTCTCCCCCTATCCTTTCACATGATTTTCCTTCCACTCTCACTAGCACATCACCAATGTTATCACTCACTAGTCTTAAGCCTGCCTTAAGCGTTAGGGACGTTTACTCTTATTCCTGGATTCTGATGTGTTGCTTTCCTTAAGTGGTTCTAGTCAACTCTGACCTTGCAAGTGGTGTTGCACTACCCTCTGTAGGTATCTGTACAATTCCAGGGCAGTTTAAGCTGATCTAAACCCGGGCTGCCCTGCCTCGGCCATGCATTCTCACATGCTCTGTTATGGCAACACCAGCACTTACGCAGCCAGGCAGAGAACTTCATGGGTTGAAGAATAACCTCATAGGAAAAAGTAATTAGTTTTCAGTGATACTGGCTGTCTGAATGACTCACTCCTTGATCACGTAAGCACCTGTACCAAGACAAAGTAGTAAGAGGAATGAGTACCTAATGGTACCGTGGAAGGATGGTACCCCTGGGACCACGGCACCCAAACAGAGCTTTTGTCAAACCATACATTAAAGGATCGGAATCTAGGTCTTAAATTCTGAGCTAGCTGCAAGTGCTGGAGTGTGCCACTGACCTCTGACAGTCTTTGACACCAGCACTGCTGGGACATGCCAAAGCTGCCTAGGGGAGCATGTCCTCGGATGGAAACTGGTGAACTTAGCGGGTAGTGGTGGCAGGCAAGTACAGAGAGGAGAGCTGATGCAAACCAGAGTCTAACCTCAACAAGCAGTAGGAAATCTACCACGACAGGCTCCTTGATCCAGGAAATCAGATGCACTGCTGCCAAAGAAATGCGTGGGCAGAAGAGAAATACAGTTGGAACTGATAATCACGTCTTTCTCTCTCTTAATGATTCCTGATTGTATTTATTATTAATTCTAGGTATGCCATGTGAATTTGGAAGGTCAGCCATTCTACTCCAAGAAGGATAAGCCACTGTGCAAGAAGCATGCCCATGCCATCAATGTTTAAAAGAAGAGTTGGTAGTCAGTAACACTGGGGAAAAACAGATGACTAACTGAGCAGTTATAAAGTTGATACCCATGGCTAGCATTTCTCTTGGTAAAAGCTAGGAAGTTGATACTTCTGAAGTTTAACTTAATGAAAGTTTCTCTTTCGTAAATGCAGACCATGCTTCTGCAAGGTTCATACCAAACCCTACTGAATGAGCGGTCAAAACCAAATGAACTAGGCCATTATTAGGGCAACAGTTGGGGGAAATATTGAAATTAACTAAAAACTGTAATATAAAAAGTAATATGCAAATGCAGTTTCAAATTAACTACCCACAGCAATTTTACTGCTTAGACCACACACTAGTGTTTAAGAACGACTGGAAAAGTCCTTTTGTAATAAGTCCTTTTCTTTCATAACAAGAATGAGTGAGTGCCACATGTCCAATTATCTGTAGAACCAAAGGCCATAGCTTTCGAAGGGAAATAAGTAGATCGGGGTTTCCTCCATGAAAAGTGACTGCTGTGACTGCTATTCCATTATGTTGTGGTGCTACCTCATAGCATCAAATATTTTAGATTCTTTCCAAATAAGAAGTCTGCCTTGAATCCATATGTAGCTGGGAAGCCTAGGAGACAATCCATACCTTAGTTTGAAAATGAAGTGGAAACAGAATAACGCCTTCCATAACCCAGTCAGATTGAGAAGAAAATGTTGGGTCAACCTTGCTAGTGCGCTTGGCTTTTGCATCCAGAGTAGATTAGTTCACTTTTCAAATCACAATGGAAAAGGACAACGGACTTTCTCCAAATTGCTCTTTCACTGAATGGAACAGAGCTGGCTGAAAAACCCAGCTTTTAATTTGAAACCAGTTTTCCTTTTCTTTTGTTGAAAAAAAAAATAAAAAATTCAAAGTTGCTTTGTTTTCTAATTCCCACTGATATCAGTGGGAGGTAGAAATCCACATCTGGACCTTCACATTGGTGAACACATAGATCCAGCACAGCTAGGAAGTGGGAGATAGCTTGCAAAAGTTCCCTATTCTATCCCATATCGTTAGGAAAAGAGCATTTTTTTTTTTCCCTATAGTAAATTAACACTGATTAAAAATCTGTAAGGCAGCATAACACCACAGGCACATACTCTTTATTACTTTTGTTAGTTTAAATGCAGCGCATCCTGATTGGTAGTAGTATTTGCCATTGTAAAACAGCAGATAGGCTCCAACAATCTGGACAACCACAGAGTCCTCTTTTCTAATAGTTTAAAGTTTCAAGTTGTTTGAACAGTTATTTATAAAACTTTTTTTTTCCTCAAAAGAACAATACTTGTAGTACTGATAATAATTTTGAATTTTTAATTTTAAATATCAGTTACTTTTGTATCGGAGACAGCAGCTCTGACAGAAACAGAGTTAAAATGGAACATTGATCACTAGTCAAGTTTTATTAATTTAAGTGAGAATTATGATGTGTGTGTTGACAGCTTGCGGTACTGACAGTTTTGAATTAGTATTTCTGAGGCTTCTGTGGGTCACATTCTGGTGCCATCTGCACCCTATTTTACCTTGTGTTTTGAAACAAGAAATTCCATAGCACTGACTACCGTTTCCCTCCTATGCATAATGCCCGTTTTAAGAAAACTCATGTGTCTTTTCAGGGATGAAAAACTATCCAAAGCTTGGGGAAGGAATAAAAGAAATTTGGAGTTCTAATATGAGAGTTAAGTTAGCTGCAGGCAGTCCACATCTTGGACGAAAATACCAACATGAACTGCCCGTGGCAGTTTTGACATGTGTGACCTGTATTTATCAGTAGGTATCGTAGTGCTCACTGATCTTAGCAGCGATCTGATCCGAGTGCGACAGGGTCAGATTTTTGTATGCGCGAATGATTCTAAAACACTAGTACATAATATGCAACGCCTTTTTTTAATACAGCAAACAAATTTTCTGTTTTCAGTCAGTGCTGAGCAGGTGTGAATATGGTTCCATCGATTACAAAATCCAAAGATTCTCTAGAGGAATAAATTGTAATCATGGAAGTTAAATATTTTTTCCCCCTCACATTTGACTTCACTAAATACCTTTTCATAACAGTGAGAGAATTCTAGACTTCCTTTTAATTTTTGAATGTCATTCAACAAAATGCGTTTATTGTTCTCTCTTATTTAAGAGAATTCGAATCAGCATATTATATACTAAGACTGCATTGAAGATATTCTTTAGGCAGATTTCTGTGTTACCCGCTGACTGGGACTAATCTCTTGCTGTCAGCATCAAAACAGGGAGTCAGACTCCTTGGGAGGACACAGAATGCTCGGGGTTGTGATGCCTCAGGAGAATTTAATGAAGTCTTTTGCCTCTAATCTGCATGTGTGTATATATGTGTGTGTGTGTCACTCTCCACCTTCCCCCTCAATGTCCCTAAAAGCTCCCTCTTCACTGGCAGCGTGAAGGATAAAGCATTTTAGGAGATGGCCGGAGATGAAGGGCTGCAGCTTAGGCAGGGGTGCACTCCGTCAAGAGATGGTGGTAGCCAGCGTGGCTGGGGCTGTCTTCTCTTTGTCCCGTTGACAGGGGAGCCCAAGTTGCCACCAGAAGTGGCCCAGGTTGCCACCTGAAGTGGCCCAGGTCAGCCTGCGAGTTGCTGGGGTGGACAAGGGTGTGGGAGACAGGGGTCTCAGTGTGGGCAGGGGGAGGCAGGCTTGGGTCAGAGAAGGCAGAGCACCTGCAGCAGCCGGAATGCAGGGGCTCTGGGGGTCCCTGGTTGAGTGTGAAAAGATGAGGCACTGAGGAGACAGGAGGCCCTTCCTGAAGCTGGGGTTGGAGGAGGGGGAATAGCTAGGCAGGGCCAGTTTCACTAAGCTGACATGTTAGGTAGTTGGGGTGGGGCGGAGGGAGGAAAGGGGGAACAGCCAGGATGACTCACTGCAGTCGGGGAAAGGGCTTGAAGCAAGAAATTGGGGTACGAGCAGCTCACAACAGTCCCGGTAGTACGAACATGGATAGAAGGGGTGAGCAAGGGGGATACAGGATCTGATCTGGTAAATGTGAAGTCAGGAATGCAGAAAGGCGAATGCAATGTACGTAAGCACAGCTGAGCTAGCTTGCGGAGTGGCAACAGTGAAAATGCAGCAGCACAGACTTGGGTGGGAGCTGTACTAGCTCGAGAGAGTCCTGAAAACTTCCTTTTCAGCGGGAGCCGTACTAACTTGAGAGTCCTGAAAATTTCCTTGGGCAGATAACCTGCACTGTAACACATGCCCTGACTCCAGCTGGTGTCTGAGCAAGTGAGATTAAAGCTAGTTTACATATCGCTATATGAGGTACAGTGATATCTCTGCGTGAAGAGCAGAGATACCCTGAGGATTATCATGAAATAAATTACCTGTTTTGACTTGTGCTGCTTCATAATGTGGTCCAAAAATAGGGAATCCACTTACCCACCCTTGGTATCTATACGAAGATATAATTTTTGCACATATCTGAACCAGAAATTTGTGAATAATAAATAATGTAGTATTTTAACTTTCACGGGGGTAGAATACCACATAACTGTTGATACTCTTCTGCTACATGTCACCTTTGTGATATGGAAGGGGGAAAGATACGTAGAGATATAGATGTAATTCAGAATAGGGCCTTTCAGCTATCGCGGAACATAAACGCTGTACAAAAAGATGCAGGATGAATAACGTGTACTTGTTCATGTTTTATGTCTTGTAATAGATGCCTGGGACAAGTTCCTCTAAATAGTTCTTTTTATTCTCATTAATGTGGGGTTTTACATAATAAAACAAAGATAACTGTACCTCTGAATGATCAAATTAAAAGACCAATCTTTTATCTAATTAAGCGTTCAATAACTTTTCAAAGGCTTAAACAATTATCTTAATGCTTTTTCTCTTTTTCTGTTCATTTTGCAGAGCGGGGTAAATTAAATTTTTCTAAAGAAGACTGTTTTTATTATCTGGGGGAAAAAAAAAACATCCTTATGACTTTCTTTTTTTAGAAGTTAGTTTTTACTATATTGGATTTACACATTACACATTTCTAAAAATTCAAAACAAGGAAAAATATTTTACTTTGGTCCTTCAGTGGTCAGTACTTTGGGTGAAATGTGTTGGTTTTTTTTTTAAAAAATAATATTTTTATTTATGTTTAATAATGTGAATGTCCACAGCACTGAACACACTCATTAGTGTCTAATGCTGGGCACACTAATGTTTATTTGCAATACTTGTCTCCTGGTAGCAGATATTAATTTGTTTAGTATTTATAAACATCAGAATTTGAAGCTGAGTGATTTCTTGCCTGCAGTGATCATATTAGGAATCTAGGTTTTATAATATATTGACATGTTGACTTGATGCCACAAGTGCCCTTGCTCTTAGATATATATTTTTTCCTAAGTTCCTAGTTATTTCAGAAACAGAATGTTATGTGGTTTATGAGGTGTGAGTAACTACTTTGCGTGGATTATCTGTGCCAACATGAATAAAACAGCCTAGTAATAAAAGCAATGTGCAAATACAGTTAAAGCTTTATGATTTGGGCATATTTATTAATATGGCATGTGAACAGCTGACAGCTTTCAGCCATGTAATACTGATAAGAAAGCATACACAAGCTTGTACTCTCTACTTCAGACCTGAAAATAAAAATTAAAAGCATTGGTTTCAGTTTTATTCTACATCAATCTTGAATGTTTTATTAACCAAATAACACTGTTTTAAACAAACAAATGTTAGTGTGCTTAAAAGATGTAGTGTACTAACAGTACATGTTGTAACTTATCCAGACTTGTACAGTCACAGACCTTATTGTGTCAACAAATACTGTTTATAGTAACTTTGTGAGGAATGGGTAAAGTCTGTCTTAGGTTACGCTGATGCCTCTGAGAACAAAGTTTGATTGCATACGTTCAGGTGGGTGTTCTTCCATTTCTCAGCAGAAGTGACTTTAAATAATACACAAAATGTTTTAAATGTCCTGACTGAGCTCTGGTGCCAAGAAATACTGCCAAATGAAAGGATATCTTCACGTAACACTGTGGTTTATAGAATCAGCCATTTTGTGCCCTCCTAATGCACACTCCTCAGGAATGCAGGGTTTTAAAAGACACAATTAATTATATTAAACCTAATTAAGAAGTTAGATGATAAATGGACAGACTTGGCTTCAGATGGCATTACAAAGTACAGCATCAGGAATCCCAACTTCGTGCACTTTGATTTTATTTTACAGCCCTAATTTCTGTTTACAATATGCGTAAGGAAAACACAGTTCAAAAGAAGAAACAGAACAATTTTCTGTCAGTTCAAAATTGCTGTTTTTCAGACTGTTCTGACCTTTAACCTTTGCACAAGACAGTGGTTCCTAAACTGTGCACTGTGATCCCTGGAGAGTTCAGCTGTGGAAGTGGAGGCAATAGAGGCACAAGCATAGCACTGTGCCACCTAATAGGGTGCAAAAAGTGAATAGAGCAAAGTTCATCAGCAAAGGACATGGTGCAGAATAGCTTGACAAGTGCTGCATTAAGAGATTCTTAATAGAAAAGAGATTATGACTTGCTCTGAAGCAAACAGTGATTTCAAAACTATAGGCTTTGGCATTGTTTCCCACTGTCGTCCCGTTCCCCCCCCCCCCCCCCCCC